GCCTCCTGGGACCACCGCTGGACGTGGACGCGGTGCGCCTCCTGGGACCACCGCTGGACGTGGACGGGATGGAGGGACTTGAGGCTTGAGCGGCGTAGCTGCAAAACCTTGTGTCTGTGAAGGCCATGAACTAGTAGAAGGTCTCCGGGACTGCCACTGTTGCGTTGTCAGGAACCCGCTGCACAAGACGGTCGCAGCAGGCCTGGACGGAGGAGTGGAACCTCTTCGTGGCAGTGGCCTGATGGCCAGCCGCGTTCCCCAGAACGGTGACTCCTGCTCCTTCTCTAGTTCCATGAATTCCAGGAGCATGCGATATTCCATGACAGGTATGAAGAAAAAAAAATACTCCCAAGTGCTGTGTCGGTGTCGGGTCAGACTTTTGGCCAGATTATTCTGTCATGATCAGAACTCAGAAGACCCGTAATGACGCCAAACACAGTTAAAGTATATTAAAAAAGTATTTTATTTTTGGTGGAGTTACCAGATGGGCGAGGCTGGAGACAGAGTCGGAGATAGGCGAAGGTCAAAATGGCAGGCAGAGTACAAGGCAGGGGTCAGGAGAAAAACGAGGTCCGGAGGCAGAGAAAAGGCAGGGTGGATGGCTGGAGAATTTACTGGCACAAAGTTTTCAATAATCTGGCAGAGACTGGATAGCTGGATGGTTCTTTTATAGCAGGGGAAGCAGGTGTGTGAGATGAGCTGAAGAGTCAGGACCAGGTGAAGTGGATGAAGCTGATTACAGGAACAGGTGAGATGAATGGAGTTGATTGTGAAGCTGACTGAGGTTGCTGGGGAAACAGGGCTTGGCTGGAGCTTGGTGAGGGGACCAGGTGAGCTGAATGAAGAGGCAGAGGAGGGTGAAGGATAGGAAGTCATGACAACAATGGTGTGTCTAAGGGGCTCGACACACGGGAGGCGACAAACGACCGCGATCAGCGAAATTTGTCGCTGTCGTTTTTATTACCTGACACACGGGAGGCGACCCACGGCAGTGGCCAGCGGCAAAGCTGTCCATGCGTTCTGTTCCATGGCGAAATTGAAACTTCCGTTGTTTTATTTGGCTGTGTCAGGTTGGAGCGAATTAAGGTTATCTAAGCGGTTCAGAGTTAAAAAAGTGGTAGATATGATGTTTCACAAGTTGCTGCTAGAGTTATGTGAAATCTTACTCCTGATTTTACTATATAAACCAATAACTTCTCCTTCATGTTTGCTCAGAGATGTACGGAGCTTCCTGTCCGCTCATTGGTCAGTGAATGAAACCTCCGTTGATTGGTCCTCGTCTGAGCGACAGCAAAGAAATGTTGAAAATGTTTCAACTTTCTGGGATCGCGTCGCTGGGTCGCCTATGCACGACACGTGCACGAGCGCAAAATTTCACATGCATGTTTTTCGCGTTTCGCTTGGTAGGAGGGAGACCCGCGATTATCGCTTTGTTGCACACGTCTCATTGAAAATGAATGGAGGAGAGGCGATGTCACCTCCCGTGTGTCGAGCCCATTATAAACGTGCAACGCCGGCATGGCGATGTACAAATTTTACGGCATTCCTTCCGCTTTGCTTGGTAGTAATATTGCTGTAATTGTCTGTCTTATAAACATCGATTGCACCTTGGCTGAACAAAATCAGCTGAGACGGCAAACTGAAGAGATGCAAAGCCTGTGGAGCTTCTCACCGTTAGAGCTGGAGCAAAGATCACCAGAGGCTGCACGGGGACTGTGGGGAACAGGCACCTTTGGAGCGGCTTGTTAAAAAAACGTAATGAGCGTGGCTTTGATCACAATAAACAGGACACGATTGAGTCACATTACCGCCACGGTCTGACCACTTAAAAACAACCTAAAGCCGGGCATACACTGCGCGACTTTTTCACTCGTAGCACTCAGCTTCTGCTCAAACTGTACGACTTCCTCGCAGGGCAGATCTCACGAGTCATGCGCTCACACTGTACAACCCAGTTCTCGGATGCGACCTGACTGCTCACACTGTACGTCTGGTAGCAACACATCGGCCCTAAAAATATGCTAAAAATAGCAGTTTTTACTCAACACGTCAGACTTTTTTGTCTTGTTTTGCCTGTTGTCCTTCAGGAGTACTGCAGGAGGACACACAGGGATTTATGGGGGTTGGATGAGTAAAACGAAATAAAGAAAGTAAATCTGTGTTTTGTGATCAGTTTAATTTGACATGAACACGACAAACACGCTTTCTTGACAATCTTTGTGAGTAAAAAAAAAACGTGTAGAAATAAAAACGAACAGCGTGTGTTATTGGGAAATAGCGAGCGAGCGGCGTTGACGCAGGATTGCGCATGCGCCGTGAGCGGTTCTGATACATTTTGGGTCGCAGCTGCTTGCAGCGCCGCTTCAACAGTGCGATACCCTCACGAGGGACGAGCGAAATATTAAACACGCCAGTAGTCCGTGCGAGCTCACGATTGCTGATCGGCAGCTGGTCACGTGGTGTTAATCGCCTCTCGTAACTCCCTGTACACTACACGACCGCTCGGCGCAAAACTCACCCCGATCTCGTGGATTCTCGCACGAGTGGAAAATCGGTTCAAAAAGTGAAAAAGTCGCACAGTGTACGCCCGGCTTTAGACTCCCTGATGCCGTCATGGCTTTGCGGCAGATTGACGGCATTGTTTTGTAAAAATGGCTACAGTGTTATGAGAAAGGTGATCGAGCAAACAACACCCCCCACCACCACCCTACCCTGCCCTTAACTGCGTTTTCGTGGGGCTACCCTGGAAACCTGTGTGTAATTTGAGCCCTGCAAACAGTTACACTCCTGTGTGTGATAATTTGCTGTACAACAGAGTGAAGTGGGATATAATATGCTACGATACAATGTGTGATGGTGACTTCATACACTAACGTAACACATAGTCGTGATACCACACATTCCAGTGTAATGCAGTCTAATATGATAGAGGACAACACAATCAGATTTACAATCCATCCATCCATTATCTGAACCCGCTTGTCCATGCAGGATCCCGGGGGGCTGGTGCCTATCTCCAGCGGTCAACGGGCTAACAGGCAGGGTACACCCTGGACAGGTTGCCAGTCAATTGCAGGGCAGATTTACAATACAGTGTCATGCAATACAATACAACACAATACATAAGGATTGATTCAAAATATTAGTGTGATAAGAAACTGTTCAATGTAATCATATGCAATATTTGACAATACTCTATAATATGATACAATCTAATTCATGACATTTTCATAGTCAGTTAGAGAAATTTGGTTGCTGTCACAAAACTACATAAGCCATAAAAGCAATTTTTACACTAAATAAAAAGAGGAAAGGAAACTATTTTGTTTGGTTATTTGTAGTTTTTTCCCCACTTTGAAATGATGTTGTATAATTTCCTTTTAGTACAAAATAAAAGATGTAAATGATGTGCTAGGTTCTGAAGTACATTGTGGTTCTAGTATAAAGCACATTGTGAGTCATGTGGAAATGGAAAACAGTTCTGTGAAGCGTCACATTCAACCCTAAAGATTAACTGAAGGCAGAGATGATATCGATCCTCTCCTGGTGGTTTTCCTGATCACCGAAACGTCACAGCAAGAGATTTTAGATCCCAAACAAAAAAATTTTTCAGCTTTCTGACTGAAGCTTTGTGCCTTTGCTGTGGTGAGCAACCACTAGGATTAGTGTGTGAGTGTACGTGTGCATGCAAGTGTGTGCGTGCAGGCGTGCAGGTGTGTATGCGTGTACATGCGCAAACAGAGGCTTCCTGCACTCAGAGATGATTTGCATGCTCTGGTCATTTCCATACTGGAACCTTGGCTGTGAAGCTGGCTATGCAGTGTGTGTGTGTGTGTGTGTGTGGTGGGGGTGGGGGTGGGGGGTGGTGGTGGGTGTGGGGGGGGGGGGGGGGGTTAGGAATTAGTCTATTTGCATTATGTCTTAAATGCAACCAACTCACTGCTTCTTTCGCTTGCTCTTTTCCTCTCTCCCTCCCTCTCACTCACACACACACACACACACACACACACACACACACACACACACATGCACGCACACAACCCAAAAGGCCCAATTTGACATTCAAATGAAGCGAGCTTATCCAGTAAACCTTTGCACCATCTTCCTCTATGATCTGTCTCCCTGCACACACACAGTTCTGAATCTTCCCAAACACACCGGTGTATTTTTGTATGCACATCTGCATTGTAAGGGTCAGCAAACCAGAAGTTTTCAAATCCTACAAAAACTCCAAGAATATAACTGAAATTATCACTGACAAAATACAGAGAATATTACTTAAATATGTTACTTTTTATCTGATCTATCCACAGATTGCCAAATTAGGGAAAACTTTAGAAAAAAATGTAAGATTTGTTTGTCATTCAGACTTGATAATTTTTTTATTCTCAGATTAATAAAAAACAGCTGATCTCTCTTTAGAATAAATGATAAATGACCTGCACTTATATAGCACCTCTCAGATTAAGGACTCCAAAGCGCTTTACACTACAGTGTATCATTCATCTATTCACACATTCACACACTGATGGGGATGAGCAACGATGTAGCCACAGCTGCCCTGGGGCGCACTGACAGAAGCGAGGCTGCTGAGTACAGGCGCCACCGGTCCCTCTGACCACCACCAGCAGGCAAGTTGGGTTAAGTGTCTTGCCCAAGGACACAACAGCAGAATACTCTGTCTGGAGCTGGGATCGAACCTGCAACCTTCCAATTACTGGACAACCCGCTCAACCTGTTGAGCTACTGCTGCCCCAGAATAAGAGTTTACCCACTGAATAAAACATTTTAATAAATTATTACAAAGGTCAGAGTGGTACATAATATTAAACTGTGACAGTAAATATATTATGTAAAGCAATTTTGGGAATTTGACCACAGACCACAACAAAGCATCCATCCATCCATTTTCTGAACCCGATTTGTCCACGCAGGGTCGTGCGGGGGGGGGGGGGGGGGGGGGGGGGGGGCTGGTGCCTATCTCCAGCGGTCAAGGGGCAATGAGGCGGGGTACACCCTGGACAGAGAGACAGTCCATCGCAGGGCAACACAGAGACACACAGGACAAACAATCATGCACACACACACATGCCTAAGGACAATTTAGACAGACCAATCAACCTAACAGTCATGTTTTTGGACTGCGGGAGGAAGCCGGGGTACCCGGAGAGAACCCACGCATGCACAGGGAGAACATGCAAACTCCATGCAGAAAGATCCCAGGCCGAAAAGCAAACCCAGGACCTTAGGCAACAGCTCTAACCACTGCACAGCCTCACAACAAAGCACTGAAATAAAAATTATTTCTAAAAATGCAATTTCACTTTTGCTTTCAGGTTTTGTGTCTGCATCTGATTTAAGTTTATGGCCTGAGTTCAAAACCTTGAACTGTGTGGGATGCTTTATTGGAGAAGAGCAGGGTTTACATTTTTAAACTGACGTTGATATTCAAGGATCATATTAGACTTAATTCCTTAAAAATTATGTTTAAAAGTGATTAAAGAAGATAAATGTAATCTTTTTGCAGCTAAACAAATTTTCTTGATTGATTGATTGATAACAGATTGTAAAACATTAGGCACTGACGTTTTGAAGGTATTTATTGAGTTTTTATGATTCATTTTGTTTGATGGATAACATTTTATGTAACCTCCCTGACTTATCTTAAAAGATTTTATCAGAGGGCTAAAAGTAGTTTTAATGAGGTTGTCTCCATCAATGCATGGATGGAAAAAATAAATCAAGTTTAATCAATAACAGTCATCTGTTTGTGAAAAGTGAACATTTGAAAGTAAATCTACTGTATATTATAAATAGCACTCAAGAAATGGTTCATGTTAAACCATATTTAAATTAATATTTTTAAAAATATTTTCTTCACATTTTTCATTGCTGCTCAGCTTATTAGCAATTTATATTATTATCAAAATATACAGATGTTTTTTTTTAAATCCCTAACATGGATGAAGATAAAAATGAATTATTATTATTATTATTATTATTATTATTCGGCTGTGCAGTGGTGCAAGGTCCTGGGTTCGCTTCCCCGCCTAGGATCTTTCTGCATGGAGTCTGCATGTTCTCCCTGTGCACGCGTGGGTTCTCTCCGGGTACTCCGGCTTCCTCCCACAGTCCAAAAGCATGACTGTTAGGTTGATTGGTCTGTCTAGATTGTCCTTGTGTGAGTGTGTGTGTGTGCATAATTGTTTGTCCTGTGTGTCTCTGTGTTGCCCTGCGATGGACTGGCTCTCTGTCCAGGGTGTACCCCGCCTGATTACCCATTGACCGTTGGAGATAGGCACCAGTTCCCCCACGACCCAACATGGACACGCGGGTTCAGACAATGGATGGATTATTATCATTATTATGTTATTTTTCATTAGTATTATTATAATATTAATGATAATTATTATTATTATTACTATTATTATTATTTATTTGATTAACACATCCAAGTTTATCATTACTTGGATGTTTTATTCCTGCAGTAACAAACGATCATCATATATCACCATGCAACACTTCTGCGTATAACAGAGTTTTCTAAGTATTAATAAACCCATATAAGTTGCAGAAGAGGAATCACATTTAAAAATCTGACTTTCTTCTCTTTTCAGATCGGAACGGGATAGACTTCAACCGACAGGTGAGTTCCTGGCATCGCCTCCTGAGCTCCAGTTCTCAGGAATCAAGGTTGCATGAAAGAAGTCTCTGTTCCCGTCAGGATGATTCGGGGTGACTTTTTTTAAACATGCAACTCTTTCCTCTTTGCTCGCATGCAACATGTTTGTTTCCTGCACTGTGGGTGGAACAAAATTTACTTCTGAATCTTTGACAAAGCATGTGAATGAAGCCAAGTGTTGTTGCAAAGTTCCTCTCATTTGGTTACTTCATACCTGCTCTTTAATTAAGTTTTTTCCTCAGTAAAGTAGCTGCAGCTTGTTAAAGAGGTCAAATTAATGCTATAACTATACTTACAGTATCAGTTTAGGTGCATACTGCAGGGTTTCTAACCTGAAGCTGTTTTAAAGCTCTGAAGCAGCAAATCTTTCACTTTAGATGGGTTGGATAGTTAAATTTGTTAAGCAGATTTTTGACAGTTCATGTTCAACTTCCGTGGATACCTCTTCAAACAACAACTTCAACAAATACAAGCTTTGGGTCATTTTACTGCACATAAATACAAATATATAAATCATTTGCATTCAAACGTTGGAACCATCCACATAATCCAGAAAATATATGTGACCAACAGACATCAATCTTGGTGTTTTAAACATTTTATAGTATTTTGGGACATCAAAAGGTGTTGCGTACATCTTATAAAAAGAGTGTTTTGTAATAAAAATAGTCAGAAATTGTCGGAAATCTGTGACATTTATGTGATTTGTTTGAAAATGAGGGATAAAGTTTGTATTAATAGGAATATTTTAACAAAAATGTATTGGCAGATCCAACCTTTTTTTTCTGTGCACTGAGGAAGTACCATGGCTTTCGGGAGTGTGTGTGTGTGTGTGTGTGTGTGTGTGTAAGGGGGGTGCTGATTTGCATATCGGTTTACCTTTACCCTAAGGGAGGGTGCGCTCTTTGTGTCATGTTGAGGAGCCAAACTGGTCCAGAAGCGAGAGCTCGTTGAGTGTGTGTGTCACTGAAAAGCTCTCATCCATCAGATCCTAGCCTGTGTTTTCCATCCTCTCAGCTCAAGCACCCTCTAAACCATCTTCTGTGTAATTTGTTTTCTGATTGCGTCAGCTGAGATGCGTCCTCCGTGTCTTGCAGATAAAAACAGAAGACATCAACGACTCGCCTCATTCATCCACCTCAGTGAAGATATGTCACCTTCCACAGGGCTCTCCAGTGCAGCTGAGTGGGGTAAGACACACTCAGATATGTACTCATACTGGTAAATATAGGTAGACAAACACTCCTGCAGATTAAAAATGAATATAAAAACATACGTCAGAGGATAAAGATCTTTACTTTTACAAGTTTCACTGTCACCAAACCAGACTGGAACAGCAAAAATTACAATTTGAACTTGAGTGAAATATGTGATTCTGTTCATCAGGTAACCCCAGCATGTTACATTGTGTGTATTTGTCCATTAATAACATTAAAATTGACAAAATAAACATTGTTTCATTAAACAAGTCTTAAAATTTGTAATGAAGAACAAAGACTCACCCTGGGATGTTTTACTAAGGTAAAAAAAGGAATAAATAAATAGTTAAACTTGATTTCTTACTCTTTTTAACCATCGGGAGAGTTACTCCCTACTGGAAATTTTTAAAAAGCATCTCAAATAAGTTCTGTTGATTAGATCAAAATGGACATTTTAGAATAGAATAGAATAGAATAGAATAGAATAAAATAGAATAGAATAAACTTTATTAACCCCACAGTGGGGAAATTCACTCGTTACAGCAGCAAATACACTTAGAGTAAATAAAAATAATAACAAAAGAACAGGTAATAGCTTAGAGCAGCATTTCTAATGTTTTATTTGACATATTAATAATGATGCCACTAAACACCAGTCACACATCAGGATTTGTGATTTTTCACTTGCAGTCAATCAGGATTTGCACCTCAGTGAAGAAACAATAGATATAATTGAAACATTAACTGTTTTAACTTATTGTTATATTATCCCACTTATTTGTCTTGACTCCATCTGACAAAAACACACCTTAAATGTTTGCGTCTATGTTTATTGTTATTTAAGGAGCTCCCATCTCTCCATCCCATGCAACCACTGGTTCTGATGCAACCTGCTCACCCCTCCCCCTTCCTGCTCTCCCAGAGTCCCTCCAGCCACCAAGGTAAGTGTTTTTCTCAACTGAGTTACTGATGGAAAATGAAGCCTGTAGTGAATAACTGCAGGAAAAGTAAAATCTGTTACATGAAGTCAGTGTTGATGTTTTGATCTGCAGCCCTTCTGCAGCCAAACCTGCTGTCCCTTCCTACTCAGAGTCAACCCGGTCTCCTTCAGCATCAGTCTGGACTGGCTCTGACTCCGCAGGTGGGTCTAAATGTTGCAAAGCAAAGGGATGCGTGCAGTGCGTAAAAGCTTGTAGAATAGGGGTGGGGAACCCTGGTTCTCAAGAGCACGTTTTAGTTGTTTCACTGCTCAACATTCCTGATTTTGTGGTTGAATCAGCTGTTCAGCAGGTCTTACAGCCTGTTAATCACCTGCCGATTCAGATCAAGTGAGTTTAAGCAGGGAAACAACATGCAGGTTGGCGGCCCTCGAGGGACTGGGATTCCCCACGTCTGTTGTAGAACAGAGCAACAGTTAGAAGTTATTTGTCCTCCTGTTAGTTTAAATCCTTGTGGTGAAAATTTGGCTCAACCTTCTGGATGTCGATTTAATTCACCAAAGTCTGATTAAATAAGTACCCTGTTGTTGATTTGTTGATGCATTTGGGATGGTTGTCCATTTGCATGACCAAATTCAGGTCATGTTTCACTCATAGGGCTCTTTTTTAGTATTAGATTTACTGTTTTGTGCCTGTTTTTACATCGGCCTCTCTTGTGTTTAAGCACTTTGGTCAGATGACATGCTGTTTTTAAATGTGCTCTACAAATATATTTAGTATGGTATGGCATATGAGCTTCCATTTAACTCTAGACTGCTAAATTAGCACACACTGCAAACACAGAATTTTCATTTTTAGACATTTTAAACTTTATTTCTAGTCTAAAAAGAAAACAAAATCTCTGGAAAAACAGGACTGCTTATAATAAGGGTCAATATTCTTAAATGTGATCACAATTTTCTTGTTTTGAGTAAAAAAAACTACTCGGGTTAAGCAAACTTTGCTTGGCTAGAATTCTTAAAAGAGCAAATAAATCAAAATTTACAATATTGCTAGTTTTAAGAATTCTAGCTGAGCAACTTCTGCTTACCCATTGGGGTGATTATTTTACTCAAAACAAGAAAATGTGGATCACATTTAAGAATATTTACCTTAATTTAAATAATGGATGTTTTCCTTCTTTCTTTTTAGACTAAAAGTAAAATCAAATGTCTAAAAATGAGACTTTTTTTTTTACTTTCTTAGAAGTCAGTTTTGCAACCCCTCCACTGCGCTCAGAGTTAATTTGTGATGTTTGTCCTGATTTGGTTCTCATGCCTTTTTTAGATTGTTTAAAAGTAGTTTTAAGCAAGTTCTTCTTTATGGTAGGTTTAGGTTTAGCTCATTATTTTCCCCTTTTTCATTTATGGCTGAAGATTTCTGTCTCTGCTGCTTCTCTGATCCAGGCTATGAGTCGTTCTGGTTTGGTTGGGCCGTCTATGTCTATGGAGAACCACATGGACATGTCCCATCTGCAGATGCCCAAGCACATGTCAGTAGCACCACAGGAAGAACCCAACGATCTGGAGGAACTGGAGCAGTTCGCCAAAGCGTTCAAGCAGAGACGCATCAAACTGGGCTTCACTCAGGTGAACAGACATGGAGAAGCTCACTCCGCCTACCTTTGAAAACTAAATTTAGAATTCAAATGTATTTATTTTCAAAAATGGAAATGCACCAAAATAAAACCCAAACTATACTGAGTTCGGATAACCTAAAACTTTTGTACATTTTAAACAAAAGTTGATTACATGAGGGTAAAAAATGCCTCCAACCTGAGGTTTAGATCTGTATTTTGACTTTGGGATGAATGAACTTCATGTGCTCTGTTGTTACCGTCTTACAGGGAGACGTGGGCCTTGCTATGGGAAAACTGTACGGGAATGATTTCAGTCAGACCACGATATCTCGGTTTGAGGCTCTCAACCTCAGCTTCAAAAATATGTGCAAGCTCAAACCTTTGCTGGAGAAGTGGCTGAGTGATGCAGGTACACGTTGGTGATCGTCACCGTGACTCAGATGCATTGTGCAAAAACCTTTCGGTCTACCTGAGCTGGGTCTGAATCTTAGTCATGTCTGCTCACTCGTTTTTGTCTTTTAGAGAGCTCTCCTTCAGACTCCATGAGCACTTCCACCTCCCTGCCTCCTCTGATGGAGGGCTACGGACGCAAACGGAAAAAGAGGACAAGTATAGAAACAAACATAAAGCTGACTTTGGAGAAACGTTTTCATGACGTAAGTTGGAGGTGGACGCATCGTTAAGCCTCTTTTAATTAAGCAGCAAACACAATTTAGAGTCAGTTTTTGATGCATTTTGAGATGCTGTTTCTAAAAAGCAATCCCATTTTGTTGCATTCTTGGCTTTCAGAATCCCAAACCCAACTCGGAGGAGATAACCCTGATCTCAGAGCAGCTATCCATGGAGAAGGAAGTGGTTCGAGTTTGGTTCTGTAATCGAAGGCAGAAGGAAAAGAGAATCTACTGTCCAGTGGCTGCTTTACCAGTCAAATCTCACAGCTACAACTCCAGAATGGTAAGCTGGTAGACACATGCTTCTATAGCTCACATTTGATAATAAAATTTAACTTTTATTAAGAGCTTACTGGAAGTCAATCTCTGGCTTGCTATTTAGAGTGCGTGATTTTAATATTTGCATAAACCGATGATCCACCCTGGATATTGAACAGCATCCTTGATTATGGAGTGGATAGTAAAGTACAAAACAAAACCAAGTTAGTTGTTATTTCATAAAGGAAACGGCTGGGTCTTTTGTTTTAAATTCTAAAAAATTAGCTTTAAAGTGAATTATTCCAACTAAAACAAGTCTGTTTTTCTTCTGAAGTTAAGCAAATCAAAATGACACCTCTAATTATTTCCTACTTGTGTTCTATTCAATAATCTAGTCCCAAGTTTAGTGATTTAATATTTGTTTATAGTTACCTAACAGTTAAATACACAAGAATGATACTTTTTCTAAGCAAAGATATCGCACATCTAAAATGTACTTTAAACCTGTTTCAGGCCTCCACGTCTGGGTCCTACAGCCCTCTGGCTTCAGGTGCAGGTGAGTATCTTCTTATTGATCAGATTTCAATAATTTATTACCTGTTTTTTACATTCTACATGTGTTTTTCTTCCAGTTTCCTCCAGTTCCTCCCCAAACAGTGCGAGTCGTGAACCGTCTCCCAACGGTTTGGCCTCAGCTTCAGTTGCTCTGACCTCTCCGGTTAACCCAGCTTCTTACAGCGCACCGGGGTAAAACCCATCATACAAGCACTTGTCTCACACGATAAAGCCTGAACCTCTCATCTAGCCTTTAAGGAGGACATATTATGAAAAACTCACATTTAGCATCCTTTTGTGCCACCATGTGGGCCTCCACTGCCACTACACAGTGGCAGTGGAGGCCCTAAAACAAGCCGTTTCGAAAAGACCCTGTTTGTGATGTCACAAACAGGGAAAGTAGAATAGCACTACTTCTTACGTTCAAGAGCGAGCTGCTGCTGGAGGAGAAGAAGCTGTACTCCAAGCCTCTCGCAGAGATCAGAGCTACTCAGCTTATAGCAGCCTGATTGGGGGATATGTGGGTATGGCCAGCTCCAGCTTGTTTTCTTAAAGAAACGGCTCATTCTGGAAGGCATGAAAACATGTTTGATATCAACCATAGAACTATTATAACTTAAGAAATGTTTCATTATATGTTCCCTTTAAACCAACATTTGAGCTAGTTTACATTCACTAATAGTGTGTTTGTCCCCTTGCCGTTTCAGGTCCTGGTACCGAGCTTGGAATTCTGCTCCATATCACCACTGAGAAACATGAACTGTGTGATATGAAGCTTTCAGACATTGTTGGAATTGAGAAGATTGGGAAACACAACGTTCCTGTTTTGAGCAGAGTTACAAATAAAACACCTAAACGGACTCATGAAACGACTCAGAAAGACAAGCTGAGAATTGCAACGCAACATCAAAATCCTTCCAACCCTCAATTCAATATCAGTTCAGGTCCCAGAAGACTGAAGCTGTTTGATTAATGCTCACAGGAGCCTTTATTCTTGAAGATGAAGGACAAAGAAGGATCGACGTATCAGAAACACTGGTGGGAAGTCTCGTGTTTGCGTCTGTAAGCTCAATTTATTAAAATGTTGAAGGATTCAACTTCTTTTCCTTTAGCCACCCGTTCTGCAAAGGCCTGTTTGTTAACATGCTTTTTCATTTTAGTTTTTATCGGTCACATTTGAAAAAAAAAAAAAAAAGAATAGAAATTTGAAGTCATTCTGTTCTAAATCAGCAGTTTTCCTATTTTACTTATGACTGATGAAAAAACAAAGACAATGTATAAAACCTATGATTTCTATAAGCTTTGGTCATTTTCCATCCTTGATGGGTTTTTTTAATTCTAAAATGGTTTTGAAGGTCACTAAAATTGGCCTAAAATCGAATGACAGTGGCTCTGAAATGCACAAACAATCTTGGTTTTAGGAATAATAATATGAAGAAAAGTGTCCTACTTGTTCACACTTACCAGAACAATAAATGAGCAACATCTCTTTAATACTATTTGAAAGTAGAGTTCATATACTCCTTTGTAAGTAACTTAAAATGAGATTTAGAACACTTGTTAGTATTTCACAACTGTTTTTGGACAAGAATGGAGCTCTGTGGCACTCAGGAACAAGATGAATCAGAAATGTTAATAAAATCTTTTTTTGTGTGTTTTGATCAGATTTGTTTACTTTTAAAAAGCAAAACATGACTAGACTTCTCCGTCTGCTGGACATGAGAACTTGAGCCTGCGCCAGTCCAACATAAGGCTTCTGTCTTCCTTATTTTCAACTTTTGTTGTTTCTTCTTCATAACAGCTGGTAAGATATCGACTGTTTTGTTGTTTAATATTTTCTTTTTTGCATGTTCCTTGTGTTTTATTTAATTTTGTGGAAACATGCTTCAGTAGTCTGATAGTCTGAGTTATTCATTTGACTGAACATGACATTTTATGTTGCAGTAGGAACAATCAAACATAAAATAAACTTTTTTGACTGAAGCTTCGTCTAGAAAGACTGAATCATAGAAATCTCATTTACGCCACAGGAAGTCACTTGTGTAATTTTGAATTCATAGGCTAGTTGTCATGACTTCAGAAAGAAAATAATTTATCATCTGAATTTCAGGACAAAAACACTCAGAAACAAAAGATCCGTGCTGAAGTTTTTATTTTTAAAAGCATCTTCCACTTGTGGTAAATATGTGTTTACCAAGCTCACTCGCCTCATCAATACATCCAAACAATGAGTTCATCTAGAGGTCAAAGTTCACAGAGGATGAACTTTGGATGTCAAAACTGCAAACCCTAAAAGAGTTGGACAGACAGATGACCCTCCAAAATGTTTGTATTCCTTGAGTAAAAGTACCTCAATTACATAAGTCCACGTGGCTGTTAGGTATACGCTAAAATGATGAGAACAGAATACAAGTGTTGGTCTTCTGAAATATTTTATTCTTCACAACAAGCAGCAAAAGCATTATTTTACAGCATATCTGAGCCTTTCCACAGAAAAATCTTCCCAGGTTGTTAAAAACGTTACTTATGAGGAATCAGGATAAAAAGAATAAAGATAATTCACAATATATACACTTTAATGATAAAAACCATTTATTGATTAGTTATTTAAAAAAGGAGTAATTTCTGTTTTATGGACAAAGATGTTTTTCCCTGTACAGTGAGATGAGGTCTGATTCAGCGATGTTTCCCTCCTGAGTGTTTGGTTTCCAGTTAGATTTAGATTCAAAGAGATGTTCAGACTTCTTTAAACCTGCGAGAAAAGATTAAAAAGAAGAAAAGAATTCTGCTTATAATACATACAACTTTAACAAGCTATTTTTCAGACTTTTGCTTTTCATGCTTAAAATTTTAATCTTTGTTTAAAAATTCACATTAAAATGGCTGATTTACTTAATTTTATTTAAGTTTCTCTCAAAAGGCTCATTTGCTTATTGATTAGAGTGCACCGATCACTTGACATGGGACTAAAATCGGCTGGTTTTCAGCCTGAAGGATGGTGAGAAGATAAGGCATTCAAAAATCCTATTTTTTCCTCCAAATCTGAATACACCGTTGCAAAAACATGAACTCTGGCTAGCTCAAGATATCTTAGGTGTAGAAGTGAAACTTATGCAAAGATTTCAATTACAATTTTTGGAAGGTCAGAAAAAGTGCAATAAGTAAAGTGAAAGACCTGTTTTAGCTACAGATCAGCGATAATGCAATTACTTTTTTTGCTTAATTTGTAAAAATATCAGTGTTCAGTAAACTGAACCAGGTTTTCTTTAGGATTAAGGGCAAAAAGAGAGCTTTGAATGCTAATAATTAGATCTTTGAGTGAATCGGACAAAATCAGAGCCAGCAGGTCAAAAATAAGACTGAACAGAAAATAGGAAACTGCAACCAGAGCATCTCTGGTACAGATAAACGATAATATAAAAATGATTAAGTTTTCTATGTATTAGCTTCGTTACTACCAGTTTCAACATGTATTTATGCTAGAATAAACAAACATATATCTGCTTCTCCTCTTCTGTTTTAACTTCTGAAGAAACACAAACGTTTTGTCTAAATGCTAAAATCCATCTTAATGTATTTTTGTATATCAGAGCTGGATTAGAAACTACATTTAATTTCCTTTAAAAATACAGTAAAATATATGTAAAGAGAAGTTATGCTCTTCTCTCATGGTGACTCACCCTCTGAGTCGGGGTCCACACCAGCCTTTAATTTCCTTGTAGACGAGTCTGGACAAAAGCTGAGGAACAACAGATAAACCATGTGGTTATTAAACTGTAGATGGTCACTGGTGATGTCAGCTCAATGCAAAACTGATTAAGTGAAAATGTTGGAACGACTCTGAAGTTTGTCTATTTTAGAGTCTAAAGTTCTGATCAACAACCAGAGTGTCTGACCAGGCAGGCGAGGACGTCTGCAGCAATGAGCATGTAGAAGACGTTGTTCCAACCCGTTGGAGAAATCAAACCAGCCAGCAGAGGACCCAACGCTGCGCCTGAAGAGATGACATACAAAACCTTTAGTTTCCATCAAAAAGCCTTTTATATCTTTACCTGCAAACAAAAGTAAAACCTTTTCTGGTAGATAGATAAAGTATAAATATAAAAGGTACATAAGAAACATGGAGCTACTTTATAAAATCGGCAATTTAAAAAAATGATTAAAAACAGATAAATAAAATGAAAGAATATAAAAGTCTGGCATATTCATCCACATCTTTCACCTTTCCTCTTCTAGAAAGGCATAATTTGAGTAAATTACCCAGCAATCCACGTCCTTTAAATTCTACATGCCACTGGAATTATTTCTAGTTTCTATTCAAGAACTTTAAATTTCAAAGCATGTCACTTAAATCATTTTTGGCTTTTCTTTAATGCCTTGCTTACCTCCTGATTTTCAAAATGTAATTTTTTTTTAACTTGAATTATTTAAAAATGTCCTTTTTTATTGTAAAATTAAGAAGAAATACCCTGTTCATCAATGAGGGCCGTTAAGAGATAACCTGCAGGTTATCTTACACCTCTGCTGCTGCGGTTCAGTCAGAACAATGATTGTCGGCCAGTAAGAAGAGAACGTGTGTGTGTGTGTGTGTGTGTGTGTGTGTGTGTGTGTGTGTGTGTGTGTGTGTGTGTGTGTGTGTGTGTGTGTGAATAGTAGTTCAAAGCAGTTTGAGTGATCTGTGAGACTAAAAACCCCTAGCATCTGTTTAATCCTCACAAACAGCTGAACTTTCAAAACAAAACAGTAAAACTCCCAACAAACATTATAATACAGAAAAATGAGTCACTGTCAGCCTGTTAGACCTCCTGCAGTCTGACCAGAAACGTCTGTTGCCATAACAACAGAGCATGAAACATTTTGATGTTGAGCCTGTTTTTTTTCTTTCTTCCCATAAGACAAATAATTAAATTTTAAATATATTCCTATTTGCAGAAATGGGACACACTTTTAAGATTTATTTAGCTTATCTTGCCTGGTGGATCAAGGAGTCAGCAAAAACATGTAATTAAGTTATTAACATTTAATACGCAGATGCTCACATACCGATTGATCCAGTCCCATCGATGATGGCACTCACTGTTGATAAAGCCCTGGAGTTTCCTCTCAGACTCTCGTGTGTTCCCTGTAACGTAACATAAGTATCAGCTGTGTCAGACCTTCAGCAATGACCCAGAGCAAGACAATATTTCCCATGATGCTTCAGTTCATACCAGGTCAGCAGACACAGCTGTTGTTATCAGAGCGTAGGGTCCGTTCACCAGGGCGCCACACACCAACAGCATACCTACACATTTAAAACAAATCGCAATTAAAGACACTTAAAAATGACGTTTTAATTATTGTAAAAAAATTTCTTAATATATTTTCAAGAGTTCAATTGTAATTTGTGTGTTAGTTTATTTGTCAGCAGACTCTGCTGATTCTTCTATTTCAGTTCAAACTTGTGAAAATAGCATCAATCAGAAGAGTCTTGTTTATATTTTTAAAAGTTCATTAAGTTCACTTTTTTCCTGGGGAGGCAACATCATGGACTGACTTACTACCACAAAGTAAAGACGTGATCACTCAGTAAATACATCAGTGAACACCTTATCTCAGGATCAATTTCCAGATGCTAAACTAAACGGCCTTATCAAGTCTGTCTTTTTGATGTGATGTTGTGTAATCTGCTTCTTCTTTCAGCTGCTGTTTTCTGATCATGTAATCGAGTCTTTTTACTTTTATCGCTTATGCCAAGATGCATACGTCAATGAAACGATTATATCCACTTAAAGTCATTTGGCTTTAAGTCTAGTTGGATTACTACAGTTAGAGCTTTCTTTAATGCTGATTGGGGCTCAAAGATTGTTTTTATCTTAGTCAGAATAGGAATCAATAAAGAATCAAACAGTCTATGTGGACATTTTCACCATTGTGTCAAAGTTTAATGTAAATATGTTAGTAATCGTCAGCTGTATGAACCTGAAGAGAAAAAGATCTTACCAATTGTAATGCCAAGACTCTTTTGTCCAATGTAATTATAAAGAAATAGCTGCAACAAGAATAAAACAATCAGAACAATTATTAATTAACATCTATGTTTATCAACAAAATGATCAAGAAATCTGGCTCAGTGTTTGGGCAACGCTTGGACTCATTTGGCATGATCATCGACAAAAGGATGAAGAGTGAACTTAAGACGGTTATGTCTCTGGAGGATCACCCCCTTCACCACATTTTTAAGGATCTCGGGAGCTCTTTCAGTGGGCGAATGTTAATGCCCCGGTGCTCCACTGAACATTTTAGGAACTCTTTTATTCCAGCTGCAGTGCGTTTTTACAATGAGCATTTCGTATGATTGTATATTTGATATTTTTATATTTTATCAGGACCAGTGAATGTTTTATGTGTGGATGTGCATGTTGTGTTTACTTGTCCAAGGCAAGTCAATTTCCCCCTTCGGGATTAATAAAGACAACCTTGAACCTTGAACGTTGAACCTATATCTCCTGACTGCTGCACGTGCTCTTGTCTTCTATAAATACTGTTGCTAATAAACCAAACTCCCAAAAAAACAATAACACCAGTACTGATGTCATGTTTTAAAAAGCACATAAAAGACAGAAATCCTTGTGTGAGTCCAGGGCCTGAAATGAATTTAAATTTTGTGTCGCAATGTGAATTTTTTTCTTTAATCAGTTTTACTAAATATTGTTAACGGCAAATACCATATTTACTATTCATGAAATAAATAAATACAAAATTCAATTCAATTCAGTTAATTTTTATAGCACCAAATCACGACAAGAGTCATCTCAAGGTTCTTCACAAAGTAAACATTCCAATACAGTTCAGTTCATTAAGCCAATCAGTAAAAGGTTTCCTCTACAAGGAACCGGTCAGATTGCATTGAGTCACTGAATTGTGTCAGTGACTTTACAGCAATCCTCATACTAAGCAAGCATGCAGCAACAGTGGAGAGGAAAACTCTTTTGTAACTGGAAGAAACTTTTAAGACTTTTAAATATCCATTTGGACAACGTGGACATAAATTTGTTTCATTTATAGAGTACCTTCCACAACCCTGGCAGAAGCCCAAGGTGTTGAACACAACAATAAAAACAATCACAATAAATACAATAAAATTATTTAAAAAACACACTAAAAACAGCATAAAAACAGATAAATGAGAAAACAATTCAAATCAAAGCAAAGTTTCAGATCCCCAATGAAAACGCCTGGATGGGCCTTCAGATGGGACGTAAAAATCTGGAGGGAAGGTGCCTGCCTAAAAGTCAAAGGGAGACCGGTCTGTTCCACAGAGTTGGGAGCCAAAACTGCAAACACACGGTCTCCCCCAATATGCACCTGGAGCGAGGGACCACAACAACTCCTGGTCAGCAGAACGAAGAAAACGGGTAGGGACATGTCTATGAAGTAAAGCTGATAGACAGGCAGGAACAGTACCGTGTAGAGCCCTATAAGCAAGCATCAGCACTTTAAACTTTGCTCTGTACTGCCCGGGAAGCCAGTGGAATTTCGCCAACACCAGTGAAACGTGTTCTAACTTGTGCCTGTCAAAAACCCAGCAGCTGCGTTTTGAACCAGCTGTAGGCGAATGCCCTGACTCAGACCAGCATACAAGCCATTACATAGTCGAGTCTGGACAGGACAAAGGCATGAATGACGGATTGTAGGTGCTCTGTAGACAACGGGCTTGATCTTAGCCAGATGTCTCAGATGGAAGAAACTGGAACACACTACCTTATAAATGTAAAATGCCTTCTGCTTTTATTTTTATTTTTTATTTCCAAGAGGATTATGGATACACTCAGCTGCAAAGAGCTTATTTTATTCTTGAAGCTTTTATGGATAAACTCTGTTAACAGTAAATGAAGCTTTAAACGTAAACTCAGTCAGACATGACACCAACATTATTAGCTGTTAAACATCAAAAACATAAACAATTCTGAACTTTTGTTTTTGTAGCTCTGCAGGCTTCAGCTTTACGTGTTTTAAAGAGAAAGAAAAAATCTAATTCAGGGTCTTCTGAACTTAGGCTTATTTTACCAGTTTAATAATTGGTCTTAGAAGTTTTGTTCTATCTGATGTTAGATATTCTCACCATGGGAGCAGCAGCAATTAGCATCACGTAGCAGGTTGACGCACGTCCTCCAGTGAAGTCAGATACAAGACCCGCCATGATGCCTCCTGTAGACAAAAATGTCAAATGTTTAAAAAGCAAAGAAATGGGAGGAATATGAAAATGCACATGAATTTTATATTTAGAATTTGCTGTGTTCACTTTTGACTATTTTAAAAGCTTGAAGCAACTTACCCACAATTCCTCCAACATCAAATAGAGTCGACATATCTCCTGCTTCTTTTGCCTTAAAATGTGCTGAGAGAATAACACACAAACAAACACACACACACACATTAGATACACATAATTTTACATTATTGTTTTTACTGATCCTGATTGGATAAATAAAGACATTTGTGTATAATACTGACCAACGTTTGAGATGTAAAGAGGAAGCCAGTACAAAAACGTGTAGCTGACCAGTTTGGCAAACATCAGACAGAGAGAGAACTCCACGACTCCCTATGAGAAACACAAAGACAATAAATCTGTGTGCTATGATGAAAACGTGTCAGATTAAGTGGATCTCATTCCAAATAGAGTAAAATTACTCTTCAGTCACAGCTAAGCTTTTCAGTGTTAACTTCTTTCACATTAGTGCTAAAATGAACACTGAACTAGACGGGTAAATGAAATAAACACTGCATGTCTGCAGATGTTAACACTGACTTTTAACTCTACTGTTTGAGCTGGTTTACTCTTCAAATAGTTGTTAATACTCTATAGGTTAAATAAGTTGACACTGCAATATTAACACTTTACTTTTTACAGTACGGCAGCAGGAATGTCAGCTCCAACACCAACAAGAAAACAAAAACATGTAAATCTAGAATTTTACTGTGGAGCTGTTTTTGACTGCAGACCTGCAACCCTGGTCCTCTAGAGCAGTTGTTCCCTACCTGGGGTCCGTGACCTCCAAGGGGGGTCCCCACAATTTAGACTGTGCTGATTTTATGAGGGTACCAAGATTATATTTGTAAAAATACCATTCATTAAATCCCAATACCACACCCAATAGTATTAAAGCTCTGTGTAAGAGTTATAACTCTGCCTGCAGGGTTTTTCCTGGCTCAAATTGAGGCGGAGGTGGTACCATCCTGACCATGCACCAGCACATGCATGCATTCAACTGCCTCACTTTTTTAAAGGCAAAATATTTTTTCGTTCAGTGTTCTAATCTAAGCTTCTGTTGATAAATTGAATATTCCATTTGACAACGTTTCAAGTGAAACAAAACTGGTTTGTGAATGCTTGTGTGAATGGATGAATGATACACTGAAGTGTAAAGCGCTTTGGAGTCCTTACTCTGAAAGGCGCTATACAAGTGCGGGTCATTTATCATTTACTTATCATTTGTTGCTAAAAATTATTAAATAAAACAACAAAATGATCAGGCTGAAATAACAGACTCTTATTATAAAAGGCTCAATAATATGCATTAGATTGGTGTTTAGTTCCCTTTTTCCCATCTGATATTTATAGTTAAAGTATTTTTAAATATTTGACCTACATTTCAGTAACATTTTAGGTTTGTATTAATAACACTCATCTTAGTAAAAATAACACATAAAAGTAAAATATAATGCATTTCATTAACATGCATCTGTATTGGAAATGGTAATAACATTTAATTTCTGCTGCTAACAATGTAATGGTGGCATGTCTATTATGTACAGGTTGGCAACAATCCAGTTTAACTTATGTTCAAAGATAGAAGTATTAGAATTATATACTACAACGGCTTGCTGTACTTCCTGCTCCAGTGTGTGGAGCAGACTTGTAGCAGTAATGTGACTCATATCTGCAGCGGTTCTGATCCGTAGCGCTGCAGGATGCAGAATAAACAGGATGGTGGGGGCTTTCCATCCGCTTGTAGAGTTTAGTCTTTCTTAAGTTTTATGATCATCATATATTTTTCTGTGCGCCACTTGATCGTGAGACTACTACCCGTTAGCTTTAGCATTAGCCAATCTGCGTGTAGCTGCACTTTTGATCCCAAACTTTGGACTGGTTCTGCCTTTGTTGGTTCCTTTATTTTCCTCCACTGCATCCAGATTACCACACTGTGCGCCAGTAAAAAGCATTTTTCTTACACGTAACATACTTTTGTTCAATAAAGTTCTGGGGAAAACAGTAATTCAAAGATGATTCACCAATGCTACTAGTGATGGGAATTCCGGTTCTTTTGGCTCTGCTGGAAGGCCCCATCACCTCTGACGTTCTGTTTGGTCCCCATCTTAGGAGCGTCATCGAGAGGGCTCAGAAGACAGCTGAACTGTCAGCCACGGTGCGAGACCTGGTCCACCCTCGGCCCGCCTCTCACTCCGGCCGTTCCTCCAGAGGATGGGACGAACGGCGCGGAAACTTCAGGCACCCAGCTGCACCGCCCGCCCCGCGGAGCCGGCCTCCCGCTGAGGTGGAGCCGAAGCGGGACCAGAGAGTTGGCGGCCAACGGTTCCGAAAGAGCCAGCAAACACCGTCTTGGCAGTCACAATTGCAGGAACCTCGCCGAAAGCAACCACGAAAATGACTCGTTGGGGGGAATGTGTGTGCTTCTGACTGTAACGTTAACTCTATGAATGATTTTGGTTTTGAAATAAAACCCAAAAAACGTCACATAGAGAGCACAATCCTACAGTTCTCTGCAGAATCCTCTGCCGAATCCTCACACATGTTCCCCACACCAAGCACTGCGACACATCTGCATGTTCCCGCAGTCAGTCATATTACACGGCCAGCTGTACGGGTGCGCTCCATTTGCACACCGGCCCTAGCTTCCAGCCAGGCCCAACACATCCCGCTCCCCCCACAACGTAGGGTGGGACGGGATGTCATGGTGCTGTTGCGACCACGTGCGGCGAAACAGTGCGCGCCGCGGCTCCATCCGCTGGCACTTAGTCATCCCCATGCACGGGCCCGGCTCCCACTCGTCCTTTATCTTTGGACTCCACGCTCCGCGGTGCGGATCAGCCTCTTCCAGCTGTTTCACACTCGCCCTTTCGAGCGCAGCCCTCCATGGGTCGCTCCCAGTTCTCTGGTGCGAGCGACGGCGGTAAGGGCACGAACCCAGTCCTCAGATGTCGTTCACGTGACCTCGAACACGCGTTCGCTGTCGGAATGCGCGCAAGAATGGCGCCGCCCTTGTCTCATGAGCAAATGGATATCGGACACCATTCATTGCGGTCACACACTCCATTTTCAGTCCGCTCCTCCTCCCTTCAACGGGATCGTGGAGACGACGTTCACGTCACAGGAACAATCTCAGGCCCTGGAGCTGGAGCTGCGGGAACTTTTGTCCAAGGACGCCATTTCCCAAGTCCCTCGCGGACAAGAGCTCTCAGGCTTCTACTCCCACTACTTCGTAGTACCGAAGAAGTCGGGAGGAATGAGACCAATTCTCGACCTTTCCCTGTTCAACTGCTCCATGGCAGTGATGCATTTCCGCATGTTAACAATGAGGTAAGTCCTAGAATACGTACGCTCCGGGGACTGGTTCACGTCAATAGACCTGAAAGACGCATAGTTCCACATCCCAGTAATTCCCAAACATCGGAAGTTCCTGCGCTTTTCATTCAAGGGAGTTCAATACCAGTTCAATCGTCTCCCTTTCGGCTACTCACTAGCCCTGTGCACTTTCTCCAAATGTCGTGAGACCGCTCTGCAGCCATTGCGCACGGCGGGAATGAGGGTTTTATTTTACCTGGACGATCTGCTCCTATGCGCCCGGTCCAAGGACAAGGCGTCAGAGCAAACCAGGAAGTTAATAGAGCATCTGTCAACCCTGGGGTTTTCCATAAACTGGGAAAAGAGCTCCATCCTTCCATCCCAGTCGATTGTGTTTCTCGGGGTGGAGCTGAACGCCTCCCTAATGAGAGCACGTTTGTCTCCGGCGAGAGCGGCAGATCTCACCACGGTGATCTCCCGCGTGCAACCCCGCAAGATCGTGAGAGCCCTGTTAGTCATGAAACTTCTGGGCATGATGGCTGCAGCCCACGCTGTGGTGCCGTTAGGTTTACTGCACACGAGACGCCTACAGCGTTGGTTCATCTGCCTCCGGGTACACCCGATACATCAGAAGAGACGTATGTTGAGGGTTCCCCCTTCAGTGGGCGGGGACCTCGCTCACTGGGGGAATCCCAGCATCCTCTCACAAGGGGTTCCCAACAGACGTCCTACGTCACACGTATCTGTGTTTACGGATGCGTCACTGTTGGGATGGGGGGGCACGTGCTTGTCCCATACGGTGGCAGATCGCTGGTCCTCCCACACACACGAGCACATAAATGTGTTGGAGCTTATGACAGTGAGGAATGTGATCAGACACTTCGCTGCCCTTCTCGAGGGCCGTCATGTCGAAGTTCACACAGACAACCAGGTGTAAATCGCCAAGGGGGAGTTTGATCCCTCCCACTATTGCGCATAGCCACAGATTTACTGTGTTGGGCACATGTCCACCTGCTGTCCATCAAAGCCACCTACATTCCGGGGGTCCTGAACGTGGCAGCAGACATCCTGTCGAGAGGGGGACCCCGCGACTCCGACTGACGTCTGCATCCCGCACTGATATCACAGATCTGGATCAAGTTCGGGGAACCCTCTGTAGATCTGTTCGCGGCTCGGGAAAACGCTCAGTGTCGCCTGTGGTTTTCCCTGAGTCCCCGGAACCAGCCCCCACTCGGAGCGGACGCCTTCTCATACCAGCCCTGGCCTCAGACGCTCCTGTATGCGTTTCCGCCAGTCCCACTGATTCCCCGTCTCCTGGACCGAGCGGTCGGAACAGCTCTCTGTAATTCTGGTAGCTCCCAGACGCTTGTCCGCGTCATGGTTTCCAGACCTGCAAGCGCTAGTGTCCGGCTCCCCGTGGAGGCTTCCGTGGAGGGCGGACACCCTTCTCCAGGCGGATGGGATAATGAAAATCCTCCAGAAATAGGCCAACGGCTGTGGGTCTGGCCGCTGAGCGGTCACGCTTAGAGGCTTCTGGGCTGCCGCATGATGTGGTCGCCACGATTCAGAGTGCGCGGGCGCCTTCTACCGTCACATCTTATGCTGCTAAATGGGCAGCTTTCCAGAAATGGTGCACAGAGCGAAATGTTCAAGCGCTCTCCTGCCAGCTCGCGGATGTCCTATCGGTTCTGCAGATACGGACGGACAGGAGCCTCGCATTCAGCACTTTTAAAACATTTGTTGCAGCTATCTCATCCTGTCACCAGGGTTTTGGAGATAGATCTGTTTTCAATCATCCCCTCACAAAACGTTTTCTAAAAGGTGTCAGAAGGAACAGACCTGTGTCCCGCCCGCTATTTCCCCAGTGGGACCTAACGGTGGTTCTGCGCGGCTTATCTGAAGCCCCATTTGAACCCTTGGACCAGGTCTCACTCAAGTTCTTGTCACTCAAAACTGCCTTGCTGCTGGCGCTGGCATCTGTCAAGAGAGTGAGCAACCTAACCGCCCTCTCAGTGGCTCCTGCATGCCTCAGGATCCGGGAAGATGGCAGGTCTGCTGTTTTATGCCCCAACCCAGCCTTTGTGCCTAAAAACATTAATACTTCCTTCAAATCCAGGTCAATTTCATTGGCTGGACTTTTTCCTCCTCCCCATAATTCTGATGAGGAGGCGGCTTCCCACCTTCTCTGCCCGGTGCGCGCGCTCACACGATATGTGTCACGCACTTCAGGGATTCGCCGCTCACAAAGCCTGTTTGTGCACTACAGAGACTCTTCCCTTGGGCAAGCACTGTCGACCCAGCGTTTTGCACACTGGCTGTGTGACGCCATTTCACCAGCTTACACATCATCAGGGCGGGATCCTCCTGAGACACTCAGGGCTCACTCAGCCAGAGGGATTTCCTCTTCTATGGCGCTCCACAGTGGTGTGTCGATGGAAGACGTTTGTCAGGCTGCTTCACGGGCTTCACCCTACTCGTTATTATTTATGAGATGTGTCTTCAGGATCCATCACTCGTTCAGTGCTTGGACCTCAGCAGGCTGAGTGAAAGCATTATGGCACCACATCAGCCCTACCTGAATGAATTTCATCCTCTTGTGGATGATATTTTAGTGTGGACCCCACTCTTCTCTCTGGCTGCCTCAGCCTTTTAAGCCCTGGGCTGAGGCTGAGCGACCCTCGCTAAAAGGAGACATGTTGGGTGTGTCCATTGGTTGAGCTAACCAGTGTGGCGTAAACCCATCCAGCTGCGCATTATTCCAATAGCAGCTAGCTTAAGGGCTAAGACTAGACGAAATAGAACGTTGGTTACGTATTGTAACCCCAGATTCTATGAGTCTAGTCGCAGCCCTTAAGCCAATGGCCCCACTGGTTCTGTTAGGACTAAGAGCCATCGGAGGTGAACAGTGGAGTCACTCCACTTATATACCCACAGGGGTGCCCACCATTGGTGGGCGTACATTTAAGCTCTTCCTGATTAGCTGATGCTGAGATCATCCTTCCAATAGCAGCTAGCTTAAGGACTGCGACTAGACTCATAGAATCTGAGGTTACAATACGTAACCAACGATCCTCCCTCTTCCCCGCCCCTATTGCTCTGTGTGTGGACAGTCTGGACACGCAGTTACACATGCTGACCAATCGCCTGTAGCTTTCATCAAAGCAAGAGGGGAGGGGAGGGGAGAGGGAAGGGGACGGCTCCCAATGACGAGCTGGCTCCCATCGTTCACTTCAAAGAGCAGTTCGTTCGCTACCGACACGTCACTAAGTGCTACGTTTAAAAATAGACAAGACACACACAGACAGTTGTTTCCGTCGCACAGGTACAGCCCTGCTCTGATATGGAAGAGCCTGGGGGAAAATCAGGATGTCAGTAGCACCAACCAAAGATACGTACCAAGTAGCGAGAAAAGGAATTTTTGATTTTTTTCTGCAGCGGTTTTAGCACTTTTCGGTGCACCGCTGCTGATACAGCGCCCTTGTAGTGGTGCAACGCTGCAACTGCAATTAAAATAACATCCATATAGCTGGGGACAGGGTAAAATCAGGCTAGGGCGGCACAAAAATAGCTGGAGGCGGCCACCACGCAAATTTTAATGCAGGAAAAACCCTGGCCTTTTATGGTCATTTTTATGAGGACCACTAGATGGAGCCACAGTGTGCAAGTTTTAAACAGAATGTTTTAGTGTAACAAAACACACATTTGTAACCAAATCTAACTATTTCTGTTATTGGAACAAATAGTTCCTACTCACAGGAATACGGAGAGCACCACAGAAGCTTATGGCCTTGGAATGGTCCTCTACAATCTCTGGAATCTCTGTGGAGATGGACCTGTTGATGCTTTGGTTCCCGTTGGGCAGTAGAGGCTCTGTTTCATTGATCTCCTGAACATTCTGAAACATGATCACACTGCTGTGAGTTCAAATAGTCAAGTTACAGATGGAGGACTAGTGTTACTGATAGAACTCACATGATACTGAGGAGGAGTGCAGTTTACATCTTCAGGTTCTGAATCAGAAAGAACAAGAAGCTTTTAACCTTACAGGCAACAACCAACACATGACTAAAGTGTGACATATTTTATTGATATGAACAAATACAGACAGTGTTTGTGTTGAATAATAAAACTGAGTTAATCCAGCAGCAGCTTCATGACGTAATCAAGGGGAAACTGTGAAATAACTCTTATTGGTCTGTTTGGTGTGTTTTATTTTCTTCTAACACACAAAAACTGACTTTCAACCAGGAAGAAGAAGCACAGGATCCCAGTGGAGGCGATGATGATTCCAGGGACGATGAAGGACATTCCCCACGCCGAGGAGACAAAGACACCAGCGATGAGGGAGCCCAAGATGTTCCCCACTGAAGTATGAGAGTTCCACACACCCATGATGAAGCCACGCCTGACAATTATAACACCAAAAAGCACTGAGCAGTCATCTTCATACAAGCACATTTGCTTTTACTTTCACTGCTTTCCAGAAGAAGGAAACAGTTTAGCCACTAAACAGTTTTTAACTTCTCAGATCAAATGATTTCAGTTTTTTAAATCAACTATGGTATAAGAATTTTAATTTAAGGAGCTATAGATACTTAGGGATGGTGTGATGGATTCTTCAGTTAAATGGGGGATTTTTGATCATTTTTTAAATATTCATTCAGTCAAAGGAGAAAACAAAACAAGTATTTAAAAAGGCAAATTAGTTGTTAGAATTATAGTTTTTACCTCCACTGTTTTAGGTATGAAAGTTAAAAAGTTTGGATATTTTGAATGAACACTGAGGAGCTACAGCACAGCTGGACCTGTCATAACTTCCTGTCATCTGACTTATGAGATGCTGCCTGTAGCACGTAGGCATTTAAAACTGTTACTAGCTGGAATGAGAAGACTGGGAGTCATTCAGACATGTGACCACTGCTGGGGAAAACGAAACGTTCTGACCTTGTTCATGTTAGAAAGAACCAGTTAGACCTGTTCTTCTACTCCAAAACAAGATATATGATGCTACTCGTCACAGCTTGGTTCATTGTCGCATTAAAATGTGACAAATGTGTCGGATTGTGTTTCGACTGGAAACAAAAAATAAATAGATAAAAATAAATCACTGTAGAGTCAGCATGACTCACTTCCCCTTTCCGAACCAGTTCCCAACACAAGCAACCACAGCTGGCCAGCCGGTAGTTTGCATGAGTCCGTTCATGACCTGCAGAGCGAAGCAAACAGAAGGAGACGCCAGCCTGTTAGTGCATTAAAGCATCATAACCCTCAAAACTCAAAGTAGAAGAAGAAGAGGGAGAGGGATAAATCTTTACGATCCCATACAAAACCTACAGGAACATCCATGTGACACAGCTGTGAGTCATGTGATAACTGAGTTACGTTTCAGTGAAGAACATGAGATCTCAGCATTACTTTCTGGGGTCAGAGGGGATTTGTATAAATTCTCGAACTACACAATGAAAACTCCTGCAGGCAGTAAACAAGTTGTTAATAATGCCATAAATGCACTGGTAGTAACAATAAGGTTGTTTTGTAAAAGAAAGAGCAACCTCTTTGAAGGTCTCTTAATTAGAGTATAATATCATTTGTATCTCTGGTTCCTCCTTTAGGAAAGGAAAAGAAGAAGGACCGAGGACTACGGATCTATCTGGCATTCATTCAGTCTGGATAATTGCCAGTACACCCTAGAATATGAGAGGTGCTCCAATATTCATCTTTTATGTTTTCCTCCTGTCGACCAAGGATGTTAGCAGCTCAGGATAGCATTAGCAGTAGTTCAGGATAGCATTAGCTGTAGCTCGAGCTAGCGTTGTTCTGCGGTTAGCATTACTGTGACCAATGTTTATGTATCGCCAATGTTGAGGATGTGTCTTCTCTGTTCAGCTCTTCTCAGAACATCGAATTTCTCTTTGACCATTACAACATCACTAATAGGAAGCCGGTCAGGGACAGCACAGATTTTTTTAGGATGCTGCATCATCAGACACCGCAACCCTTTATTCAACAGCAACGTAAATCTGGTCTTAAATTTAGGTCCATTTTAACAAGACAAGAAATTTGCATGACAGTCACAAATCGTTAGCATTTATGTTATAAGCCTCAGGTGACGTGAATGTATATAAAACCTCTGGTGTCATCTGGACCAGATCAGTGATTCCAGCTGAAAATTTAAAGATTTTTATAGCTATTTTTTTTCTAACTAATCACCAATCAGAAAACGAAATGACTTACAGTACTAACCATGCTCATCAAATATCTGTTTCAGAGTGAAGACAAAGTGTTTGTGACTTTTATTTTGTGTAATAAATATTCACTCTTTTTAAAGCAAGTGTAGGATTTCACAAGCTCAAATAAAACTAAGTTTGTGTTTGATTTCTTGAACACTGAGAAATTTCTGAACTTAAAAAAAAAACAAGTGGAAGCTACTCAGCAGCTGCAGGTCAAACACTTGAAAAGAAAACACCTTGTGTTAAATTTTGCTTTCCCGTATATTTCTAAAGCATCTCTGACATCTGAATGAGTTCCGGTAACTGCTGGTCAACAGAAGTTTAAAAAAAGAAGTGAAACAAAGCTTTGTGACACGTTTTTTGTTTGCAAAGAGGCCTTAAATATGAGTCCGTGTTCTCAGCAATGTTCCTACAGAGCTGAGCCACAAATGAAACCTGATGTGTTTGAGCTAGAAAGGCTTTGGTCAGCAACAAACGGCTCATCTGATCTCTGTGCTTCCCTTTTTTCTCCATGATGCAGACAGAATGGGCTTCTTAAAGGCTATTTGAGGCACAATTTGTTTCTAAACTTTAATAAAAAGTGAATAATAAAAGGATAGATTATTTAAATATGTATTGTTAGCTAAATTCAATTAGCAAGACTGAAACTGGGTCCATTCAGAGGTATTAAAACCAATTGCGGTTGTTTTATCTGATTACATCCTGTAAATGCAGACTTGGGTTTCTTTAGAACTTTCATAAATAATCACTAAACCAGACTCTGGTCTTCACAGTGCATATTGCTATCGGCTGATGGGCCACAATGTAAAACCAATTTATGTTCAAATAAAACAAACCAGGCTGAGTAGCTGGAACATAATAGCCAGATGTTTGACACTTGAATGAACTAAGGGGATCTTTTAAATGCAGCGTGCTGAGCATGCTTTTGCATCATTCATTTCTGTTAATTATTTCTGATAGAACCTATTTGACTTTACTATGAAAGTCAGCTTTAGAAGTTACCTCTGAAGATGGCTAAGTAAACACAAATGCAACTGCAGAGGGGGGCGAGCCCATCACTGGGAATAATACACAGGATAGGTATGGGCATGCCAAAAAAGTCAAAGCCTCTTTGGAAATGGATAAACAGGATGTGGAAATTATTCTGGGTATCCAGATAATACTTGACTCTTACATATTTTATTACATCTCCCTAATGAGAAGTAGGAACACAGGTATAAAAACTGCTGTGTCTGTACCTGAATGAAGGCGTAGTACCATAAAGAGTGGATTTCCCAGTAGTAGCCAAGTCCAAACAGACAAGTAAACACTCCACTCAATAGCATCCCAACACTCAGGTAGTACCGCAGAGGAAGGCGCTCACCAAATATGCCACTGTGGATGTGAGAAATTGTTTGAAGTTGTTTTAGAGCAAAGTCTCAAAAGAGGATCGGCCGACACCAGCACATACAAACCTGAAAAACATTCCAATGGCATAGGCAACCAGGAAGGAATTATCCAGGACTCCAAAGAGGGTCTGATAGTTGTCCTGGTCTGGAGAGAATACATGAAAATGTGTTATGACACATCAGTAGATAAATGTTTTCATTTCTAGTTGTTTTCCCTTTTTTCCAATGTTTTTCTTAATGATTCTGTCCTCGCTTAAATTTAAACCTCTAAAAAGAGTAGCACCACAATTAGTTTGTTTCTTTTGAGAGGTTCATGTCTAGTGTAATCATTAATTTAAGGGCTAATTAGTGATTTCATCCATCTCTCGCCCGGAAATCCAATGTATGTATTTCCTAAAATGTCAGAAAAAAATCTCCCCAGCCTTCATTAGTGTCTACAGGAGTGATTCATCACTAAATTAAACAAATCAGCTGTGATCAAAATCTAAAACATGCAGGAAATGTGCTGGAAGCAGACTGCAGCGCCAAGTATATCAGCTCAACTTTTTTTTAACTCCAACAGACCAGACTGGCACTCTGAAGTTGCAAATGTGGTATTCTGGCCACAGAGGGTGATGGGGGTCAATGTGACATTTATTTAAACCTGTAAAGGGTCGTTTTAGCACACACTGGCTCAAAAATATCATTTAAAAATATGGAAAAGTTGCTAAGTATCCCTTTAAAGGAAAATTGCTGAGCATAGAAAACGACAGGTGGTTTGTTTGAAAAAATAAAAACAGGAAGAGCCAGCTTAAACTGTGATTGTGAAGATAAACTGGGCAACACTTTTCTTTTTCCTTTGAGTGACATTTATCTAACTTTATAATCATAAAATAAATCAGACTGTTAACACCTTTTCACCTGTATTTGCAAGCATCATGTCACTAATAAAAAGACCACTTGCTGAACACATGGGTAACAGCCAGTAAACGACTTACCAAAGGGCACCCAGTCACACCAGGTGTCATTATCGGTGATGTTGAGGTCTACTGGCCGAATGACGGTGGAACAGTTCTTATGCAGCTCACTCTGAATTTCAAACAAAAACAAACACACGCACGCACACACACACACACACACACACACACACACACACACACACACACACACAGAAAACATGTAAACCAACATGCATAAAAACATCAATAAAAAAACAAGCCAAACAATAACTGCAGTAGCTTTGATTTATTTAATGGCAGAATTTGCTTCTATTGCCTTTAACAAACTTTTTCATGACTTCCTCTATGTACTGTGCAAAAAGCAGTTCTACCACAAATAAAACTGCTACTGGAGAGCAAAAGCATGCAATGTACTGGACACACCCTGCATGAGTCATGAGTCATTAAAATCAAAGTTTATTATGAAGAATGCATGGAGTACAAAGTCCAAGGAACTGGTCCTAAAATGTAGGTTAATAAACTGAATCCATCTGTTCAATTAAAAAAAGCATTGTGAAGATATTCCTTTTGTTATTTCTAACAGCGTATTTTGAAATATTTGATGGAGGCAGAAGAATTATCATGAGACACAAAACAACAACAACACAAGGGATTATGTCTGGTTTCCTTCTAAATCATTTAAAGAAAAGATGTAAGGACATACAACCCTGTGCTGTGTATAGGCTTAAAAAATTATTATATCTATATGTAAATAAATTCCATTATTTGCTTAATAAAAATGTCAAAGAAAAATAGGATTTTAGTCAATATTTATCATTGTTGAAGACTGAATAAATGGATTGCTCCAGTTACCTTAACAATACTGATGGGTTTCCGTGACAGATGGTAAGCTGTGTAAAAGAGGAATGTGAGGAACAGAATAAAGCCACGATACCTGCAAGAATAAAATTCAAAGTCAAGTTAATAAAGTAAATACTGAAAAGTCAGTTTTCTCTTTTTATTTCACAGCAAAAGAACTAATTATAAATAAATCCATGAAAGACACAGGATTGTATGAAAACAACAAAAAAACACTTTCAACAAAAAGCACACATTCTCAGTTATGCACAGTGGGACCAGGCTAATGTAAAACAATCTAAATGAATTTATTTATATATTCATCACATCTGAGTTCAGAGACTTGGCTTTGTGTACCTCATCGGCCTGATTTATTCACATACATGAAACATGACACAGCAATGTGAAAATGAGCTTAAATTAACACTTCAATCATTTTACTGGGTACAGTAAATAATCACAATATTCCTTTAAAGTGTGTCTCTATCCAGAACTGGTTATTCATTATATATTTATTATGTTTTACTTTGCTCTAATGTTATCTGCTCTATAGTTTTGAAACAGCAGACTTTTTTTGACACAAGACCCACCCACCCTCTAAAATCCACATTCTTTTATCAGTGTGCATTGTTTTGGTACGTTAAACTTAAAAAATTGCATTTTCATACATTTCTAAATGTAGTTGCCTCACCTCACAGAGTGTATTTTAGACATCTAATGTTTGTCAGCATAATAAATGTCTTTTAAGGAATACATGAAAGTATTTAGTTAATATATTCTCAACAAGTTCTCAAAGTGGGGGTTGGAAATTCTTAGTGGGTCAGTCATAAGATACTTATGTGAAGGGTGTGGACATGATCTCCTGAAGCAAAAGAAACCGGGTGATCAGTCATAGCAAATATGTTCACCACAAAAATAGTCATCTCAAATACTTCAAGGGACTATAAGAAAGTTTGACAGCCAAAACATGTATAGAAATAATAAATTTCTTCTTCATACATTCTCCTGCAATGCCCTGGTCCTGTAGAATGAGCCCTGGCATTTTTACTGTGATTGCCTGTTTTTCTGTAAAATCACAGAAAAATAGAGCTACTCGGGTCGAGCAGGCTGCTTCATGCGCGCTCACGCTCAGGCATAGCCCGTAGCATTTGCTTTCCGTAGCTTTAGCAGCAGAGAGAGAGGTAGTGCCAACTCGGCGACTTTGTCGTTGTTCCTAACGCCTAGTGACGAACCTAGCTACATTTCTGAGGACCCTTAGCTACTTTCTGTAGAACTTTCTTTTAGATAGATCTGCTAGGCAACAGCATTTGTTACATTTTTCAAACAGGAAATAGGAGTGGAGTAATACTCTGGTAGGTGGTGACTTGCTCTTTAATGACTAACTTGCAGCGTTTGTTTACTTCAAGAAGCATCAGAACAGTTGCTAATCATAGTTTGCACGTTGGAAAAAAACTTTGTCATAACAATAAGAAGAAAACCAACAGCTTTTGTATTAACCTTGTCCAAAATGCAAGCTTTTAATGACCTTTATTCAGTAAAAAAAAAAAAAAAAAAAAAAAAAACCAAAATAATTATGACTGCACCTCAATTAATAATAGTTTTGTCTGCTTCTAGAACACCAGCAGTGGATCATCTGAGGTTTGTGCATTAGGCTTGCTTCCTACCTACACCATAAAGTCTCTATAGACGGGAGTCTGGGGAGACCGCATGCCTACAAAGCCTCTTTGGTGTAGGGGGTTTTGATTCAGAAAAAAAATCTAGCCAGATTGTGGGATTCAATTTCAAATCAATCCATCAGAGTAGAAAGTTATATGATAATGCACAGATGCAGATTATGGTCACTTTAAAGGGCTGGACAGCTGAAAAATGTGCAAATATACCTGGATTAGAAAACTTTAAAAATTTCTTAGTTGAAGATAATTGCTGGTTTTCTTTTGTTTTGTTGTTTGATTTGTAAATTTGGTTTGATTTTACAAAGTCGTTGGAGGAAAAAAAAATCTGTGCAGCCAGCTTCTCGTTTTTAAAGAAAATCACTGAAAAAAAGTATAGAGTAGACCCCGTCTTCTTCCCACGCAGCAGCTGTGTGATCAGGAGTGTGTAGTACACTTGTTTAAGCACATTCCTCACATGCTGGACGACCATATCAATCCATTAGAGTGCGAACGTGCATCAATAATCGAATATTTCCATCTAAAAAGAATTCCCAATTAAGCAATAATGGAAAAAAAACTATTACACCGTAATAACAGGTGGGGAAACGTTGAATAATAATAAACAAAAACACTGCAGGTTGGCTGACCTGAAATAAATGAATAAAAACCAGGTGTAACGACCAGGCTGAGTTAATAATTGACAACAGATAGATATTCAAACAGATAAGGTTGTCTGTGTGTAGAGAAAAGCTGAACTCACCAGCTGTCCCGAGAAAGGGACGTAACTACTTGTATCCCGGGTGCCAGGGGCGACTTCATTTTCGATTAAAACCTTGTTGCAACTTTACACCGAAACTATTAAATTACAGACATTCCTTCGAGCATATGAGGCAAACAGATAGACGGGTACTATGTCTAATTAGGAGAAAAATCCGCCACCCTCTGATTTCACGGAACTGTCTAAAGTGAGAGAAAAAAAACGGGAAATGGTTTTGAAGCTGGAAGATGAAAGTAGACGTTAGCTGCTGGAGGGGAAAAACGGCTGGTGTCCGGCTTCTTGGTCGGAGCGACGGTCCATTTGCATCCGGCAGAGCTCCATAATGTACCACTAAGTTTATATACACCAGTGAGAAAGTGCCAGCCTACCTCCGCGACGCTGTATTAAAATGTTCAGCTTGGAAAAACACGCTGGAACAGAAAAGGAGTATTTTTAATACTCGTCCCAGATCCTCCTTCCCCAGGGAATTCCGGGAGGAGCCTGTTGTCGGAGGAGACGCACGCCATTGACGTAATCACGTCGTGGCAAACAGAAAGCGCGTCTTGGCCTCAGAGATTTTATTACAGATAAACATTTAAAATAATAAAAGTAAAAAAAATAAAATAAAATTGTAAACACGTTTAGATTAAATCTTTTTTCAAATTCCTTGAACATGTATTAAGAGTTTCAGGTGTATGTTTAAGATTTTACAGATTATAAATATTCCCTACTAAATACCTATCATTTTTGTTGCTGTTCCCTCCTGTATCCCCTCTCAAAATATTCGGAAATAAAAGTCAAATGTAAAAGGATTAAAGTCTGCGTGCAGATTTTAATAGAACTTCTCCAAGCATTTACTTGTCCCGACATGCCTTTATGGTGAAATGCTGCTGTACAACTACATGCAGTTGCAAAACATGTTTTTCACTGTTGATTTAAAAAGACACTGAAGTGTGCTTTTGTTTTTCTATTCTAAACAGTCAAAAGCAAATCTCCGACTTAGACTTTTATCTAAATCCTATTTGAAGAATTTATACTTCAGCAAAATATGCTGTGTGGTATGTACAGTCTATGTGTGTGGCAAAAGGAGTACAAATAGAAATCAGGAGAACAATATGGCAATATTCACGAGCATCTTATAGTCAATCTTCAACATATATTATGCAAAACACATAAATGATACTAATATTCGCTAATAGAAAAAAGGACTAGATAACAATAAAAGCCTTTATTGCTATGTATTTAATTTGGTTTAGCATACACAGCTGATTATATCAGTAGCAAATGTTACAGCTGAAACCAGTGTTTCGTGTAATTTCTCAACCTTTTAAACCCACAATATTGTAATAAAATTTTCATTTTGCCAATGGATAAACCCACCATACAGCTATGTAATCCCAGTAACATAGTAAACAGAAACACACAAATTTTCTATTAATAAAAACAAACACTTTATTTAAATCTCAAAAACAATGGTTCTCAGTTCTCACAATTTTACACTTAGAAATTAAAACTTTCATTACTTATTTTAACATGTCCACTGAGCCATTTTTCAAGTTTGCACAAATGACTCCTACCGTTTACCTATTTTGTAAACTAATGAACTGCACATTTGACAAATGTGCATACTGAAATGGCATAGAATAAGTTTTCTAGAATCCCCAAAAGACTTGCTTACAGCTCTGAACGGTTATAGTGGCGTCTGAGCCACTGTGGCATAATGTAGCTAAAAAGCTAAACGTTTACTAAACCTTGGTGGGAGTTTGATTAGTCCCCCTGAGTCTTTTAAATCACAACAGAAACCATCAAGAAAACAAGATTTTTGTGCAAAATCGAACACATGATCAGACAAGGTGAAAACTTTGGCACATGACAACTGTCAGCGGACAGTTTCTATTGTCTTTTTTAGGTTAAAAACACATAAGTTGTCATCTCTGTCAGACGATTGGTTCAGGAGCTTCCTTTATTTAACACATCACTGCTGAGTGCAAAGCCTTGGCATACGCTGCAGAAGAAATAACAATTACATACGTCTGTTCAGAGAATGTGTGTGTTGTGATCATTAGTGTAGTAACCACCTTTGGGATTGTTGTGGAAGACACAGTTGTTAGCACAGGTGTCAGGGTGGGAGTCCCAGAAGGAGGAGGCGCAGCAGCAGAGAGGAGGAGGCTCCAGCTTCAGCAAAGAGAGTCGCTCCTTCATCTGAGCTCTCAGAGCCTCGACGTACCTGCCCAAGAGCCACCAGCAGGTTGTTAATCAGATCAGCCTCAACAGCACTAAGGCACTTTCATAAAACACTAGTTTGGGGTGACGGTGGAGTTAAGCATCTGCCCCGTTATTGGAGGGTTGCAGGTTCGAGCCCCGCTCAGTCTGTCGCTGTGTCCTTGGGCAAGACACTTAACCCACATTGCCTGCTGGTGGTGGCGGTGTATGACAGCCTCGCCTCTGTCAGTGTGCACCAGGGCAGCTGGTATGATGTAGCTCATCACCACAATGGTGTGAGTGGATGAATTACTCATTGTGTTGTAAAGTGCCTTGGGGGGTTCTAGGACTCAAGAAGGTGCTATGTCAAATACAGGTGATTTTCCACTTTTATCATTACCATAGAAAAGTACCTAGATCAAACACACCTTTCAGTTCTCAACTTACATTATTTTGTCCATCCTGATTGTTTCTTGTTTTTCCAAATGGGTTGAAAACATTACTGATCTTTAACAGTTGGTGTGTTTTTTTTTCCAATGATTTCATTTTTATGCATAAAAGTGGACAGAGTAGGCACCATTTTAGTTCAAACGTTCTAGTTAGGCATAAAAAGGATAACATGGATTCAGAATCAACCTCAAAGCAGCTCTTAAGCAAAAAAGTACGTCAAAATGTCTTATCGTATTGAAGAGGTGGCCTGGATAACCTGTTCAATACATTCTTCTAAAGAATCATCCAGAGGAAAAAAAGGTGAACAAAAAATCCTTCAAATAGATTACAGATCTGCTCCTTATTTTTATTCATTTGCATCAACTAATATTACTAACCTTATATTTCACTTTAAAGGAAAACATCTTTTCTCTTCCCAGCTACATTGAATGCTGGTTGGTCTATCTGGAATGCGCTGTACTTATTTGTGTGATACCTCTGTTTCTATAAGGTTGTGACAAAGCTGAATCATTACCACCACACTGATGGATTTCCCCTGTTACAAAAGAAACCAGTTATAACATAATGACTTATGTATGATGGCTTTATTTTGTTCATGTTTTGTGAGTCCGTATCACACATTTCTTCTTCTATCTGAGGATTTTACAGAAACGTCCCATTTGCGATACTCTGAGGGTAATTTACGTGTGCACACAGCCCTCTGATATGCAGCTGAAACAACAGATGCAGGCAGTCGCTAAATATGTCAGCCTTGTGCCCTTTTACATTATCCTTCATAACCCAACAAATTACCTCCTGGTGTCTTTTTCTTCCTCCTTAATCTTACTCCTTTGAAGTTGCACAGCTCTCTCCTCCTCTTCCTCTTCGAGCTTCAGCCGTGCTTGAATCAGCAGCTCTCGTTCCTCCAGCTTCCGTTTGACCTCTGAAAGCTGCTGAATTCTCTCCAATCTCCTCTCCTCCTCCAGACGAAGCTTTTCCTTTTCTGCTTTCATACTTGGATGAGGACAAGGACATTTAAAACAAGAACTGGTGACTCTGTCATGCATTAGCGAAGTTCTGCTACATTATGCTGTTCCACCTGATCCTCAGGCTCATCTATTCTAATCAGGAACAACCGAGCCTCAGCAACCAGCAGATTGCTGCCGTGTGTGTCTGCCTCTGTATTAACAGCTCTCAGTAACATCTCTAGCATTCCAGCATAACACGGTTTCCTGATTTCTGTCACAGATGACCCCAGCCCTTGTTCTGCCCATGGATTATTTAGTCTGTACCTTGCTAGGCTCCGATCAATCCTCCTGCCTCATCATCATCACACTTCTGCCTCCTGATCCTTCTGTGGACCAAACCCATCCTTAATACGTTTAAAAATCTGCTTCTGTGCAGTTATCAGGTCCCGTTCCTGTACCGTGTTTTTATTCATTTCAGATTTTGCTCATAAATGTGCTTCATGAAAACATTTAGATGAATAAAAAGTCATGTGGAAGAACACACTGTGTTGTTGTTACCTCGCTGTCCTCTGCAGGTGTTTCCTGAGTTTTCTCTTTTCCTTCACATGTTCTCGCTCGCTGTTCATTTCCTGGCGGCGGTGCATCAGGAACTGAGACTGACGCTGCAAACAAAACATCTGTAACATCCAGTCTGCCAGAAGTTTTAAAAACCTTCATCAGAGCTTTTCCTCTACCTGTTTTCTCACTTTTTCCTGGTCGGTCAGAGGCCAGAGAACCTGTGGGACTCTGGACTTGGAACCAGGATCAGGATGGGATTCATCTGGATCCCAAAGAGTTTGTCTCACCATCTGAAACATTTAAACGCAGAGACTGCGGAAAAATGATAAAACAGAACAACAAATATATAATCTGAAAATCTGTAGTCTCTTTATTTTAAACTAAAACATCATTGCTTTGATTTCCATACTTTTCCAACAGACTCACATCTAAGAAGGAGACGAGCATTGTGACTAGACAAAAGGGAAGCAGACACTCTGTCGCCAATGAAAACAGTCAGAAATGTTATGTTTATCTGTAAAAGGAGGATTTTTCCAAACCTCTTTACCTGGAACGTGTATATTTAACAGCAAAAAGGAAAATTAGTAACAGAATTAATTCTGTGCATTCCACTATAAAATATGAAAATGTTCAGGGGGGAGTCCTTGAATCAAGAGCTGTTGGATCAACTTTGGAGAAATCATTTGACAGGATTGACGAGCTTGATGGCGTGGAGACGCTATCTTTGCTGCAGTCTATAAACTTCAATCTCAATAAGATCACAGAACCTTGTTTTAAAAACTTTCTTTTCACATTTCAGTTAATCAGGCAGAAAGATTCAGATTTCCTACAGAAAGGGTCCCAGACTGCATGTTTTAGCTTCTGTAACAAAAGAAAAGAATAATTTCATTTGTAGACAAAGCGATAGCAGTGATATGCTTTATCTAGTTCCAATGCTTCAGCTGCAGTTTGTAGAGATTAAAAAATGCCTTTGTTGTGGTTCTACTTGCAAAATAGGCAGAACTCCTTCCAACTGCAGCTACTTCAGGCACAAACGATGCCAGGGTGGAAGTATTTATTACTTGATACGGCAGAATTATGCTTTATGAGGATTGTAAATGCAACTTTTAGTTCAACACTATAGTCTGCTAAATCATTTTAACAAATTAAAAAAGGTAAGTCGGGCGGATATCAGCCGTGGAGGGGCTGATAGAAAGATTATAGGGAAACTAATATATATATTTTTTTACTTCCTACATCTCCGTCCCTTTTTGAATATTATACCATTGGGATGCACAACAATTGTTTAATATAATAAATGAATAATATGACTAATAAATAAAGGTTACACATAAATAAATAAATGTTAAATACAAAATAAAGAGAAATCTAGACCAATACTGAAAACTTCTCTTTTCATCATAAGTACTAATATCTAACATCAATGAGATTATTAAAGTAAAATAATGAAACGTGACAGACTGAAGATGACACACAATCGAAACGCTGCTGCATGCTGGGAGTTTGGTCACCTTTTGCTGAACAAGTGGACACTCATGTTGACTAATGAAGAGAGGAACATCTTTCTCCTCTTCTTCCTCTTCTAGAACATCCTCCTCTGGTCTGTGCATGTGAGAACTGTCTCTCTGTTGGGTGGAGAGGGAAATGTTTTCATTTATAAACATGCTGGAGCACACCCTGTGCTTAAAAAGAGGAACAAAGCGTTGGGAGCAGACACTCACACGTCTGGTTGAAGAGCTGTTCCATCTGCCTCCTGGAAGATCTGACATTGTTTCCTCTGGCTGGATCGTCCGGCAGGCAGCCAGTCTGAGTCTAACCTGCCTCATGACTTCACCCGGCTGGAAAAATGTGAAAATAAATCATATTCCATATTTATCACAATCCGAGCTTTCCATAAGTCACACATGGAAACAGTTTGCACATCCTGAACACATCACATTTTTTAATAACACATGATAATAACACTATCACAGCAACAAGTGCATTCTGTCCCCATGACACAGAGGCCATAAACAAAACTAGAACTCACAGGAAACAGACGGATCCCAGATAGAAAATATGTAAAGTAAAAAGCAAATGGGAATTTTAAAACGTAAATAATCGGTTTGGAAAAAGACCTTTACTTTGATGGGTATTTCGGCTCTGTCTCTAACAGACAGTTCTAATTATGAATGTGTGAAAGCCGCCGTGTGCCCTCTGGTAGATAGACAACCACAGAACAGCTTAAAACCCAACCTAATTTTATAAATATAAAATACATAAACATGGTTTTTAGTATTGTTTGTTATGTTTATGCCTTCATAACTAAACCAAGATGCTTATTGTGTAAAAACCTGTTACCATTAAGAATAATCAACTTTCAGTTTTAGGGCAGAGCAAACTTTCACAGACAAGTTGTTCACAGCACAAATCAGCAATAAGAAAACCTTGACTTAGCTTCTTTTTGAAAGATTTTTAAATTCGTAAACTGCTGCCTCACACTTTAGGAGAAAATAGAGGAAAATATTGCAGAAAAGAAATGACAAATTATACTTTCCTTTTAAACAAAGCACGGAACGCTGACCGGTAACGAAAAAAAACACATCTGTGTGATCAAAGTGAGCATCATCTAAAAGACTGTAGAACTTGTGACGAAGTGGAAATGTGTCATCTTCATCAGAACATTGCTTTCCAACAGGATTCTGTCCGGTGTGGTCACACCATCAACGTTAAGCTCCACTAAAGAACAAATGATGAGATTTTTCTAAACACGACTAGTGACCATGTTCCCGTGAGTTCTTTCTGAGCTACTTTGATGGGAAAATCTTCCAAATTATAATGAGTTGTAGCTTTTATTTTCTGCATAATTAGAAGCTTGCATCTCACCTCTGGAGAACTCCTTTGTTGTAACGTCGTTTCTGCAGCCGTCTTCCCTTTCCTGGCAGACACTTGATGCTCCCAGACCTGGTGATGTGGGATTCTTATGTGAGGTGTCACCTGGAAAAAGACACAGAGCTCTAAAATGAAAACAAAAGAGTGATGTAAGGAGCATCAACAAAACAAAAATCCTCCACATGCCCTTCAGTTGATCCAGTCTCAAGGATCTCTAATTCAGGCCACCAAAGGTCACTGTCCTACAAGCTTTAGCAGTTTCCCTGCTAATCCCCTGATTTAATCACCACATCATCGTGTCCTTGAGCTCCCCTCAAGCTTGTTAATCACCTGGAAAAAGAAACATCTAAAACATGCAGAACAGTGGCACTCAAAGACCGGATTTTAACATTGTATGCAAATTTCTCCACAAGTAGCTCTTTAGGAAAACCTTGAAAGTGCTAAAATGCTTTGTTTACATTCTTAAATTACCATAGATCAAAGTAATCTATTTCAAGAAACAATTCTCTGGAGTTCAGATTGGACTTAAAATTAGTACTTAAAAAAAAAGCAATGTCTAAAAAAATGCTAAAGAATTTTAAGAAACCTGAAGAACTGTTCATCAAGTCCACTTTAAAGATTACATGTCCTTGGGATTCCAGCTATAATTGTTGGAATAATGAAGATATGTTTTATTTGTTGCATCTAAACAATCATGAAGATATAATTTAACACATTTAACTCAGAACTTAAGAAAAACAACATTTTAGGGACTTTTAATTTAATTTTCATTGCTCTCTCTCTCACTCTCTGTTTATGTAGTAGTACTTCACTGTTAGAGTCAGTATTTCACCTCTGAATTTATGTGAGGCTGCTGCTGTCTTTGGATGTTAGCTCGCTGGGCCACACGGTGCCGAACTTCATCCTGAAATCGTCTCAGGCTCTCTTCTTTCTTCTGTCTCTTTTCTGTTTGCAGCTCATCAGTCAGCAAAGCAAGATCCTAAAACACAACACAACAAAATATAGTATAAACTGAAAGTGGGACTTATGTGCAGCTTAACATCTTAGCTTATACAAGTCATTTCAGAACCACACATACAAAAATAACAGTGATCACACCTGGTCGAACCCAACAAAGGACTCTCCTCTCAGCTTCTTGTGAACTTCTACAGAGCCACAATAGAGCATCTTCTGTCTCAGCATGACATTTTGGTACTGATGCTGCTCAGCACAAGATAGCTGGTGAGGACAGCTCAGGGGGTTGTGGGAGAATCCCAATCCCAAACCTGGGCTTGGAATATGCTGATTGGATCCATAAAATGCTGAAAAAGGCTGTTTAGATTTATTTATTTTTTCTAGAAGTTTCAAAGATCAGATATAAATGTCGAGGTGATCGCTCTTCTTAGTCTGTTGCACCTCTTAATAATGCTTTTAAAACCTCAAGTCCACAAAAGAAAAGAACAGCTGTTTCATAACTTATTTATGAAGAGGAATAGATTTTATTTTAAAGCAAGTAGGTGTCTACAAAAAACGTTCTGCATAAATGTGCCCCAGGGCTAGCCTGGCCTGCCATACTCTTCCTCAACAGAGGACGAGTCTGGCAGGCCAGGCTACCCCAGGGCACAATCAGTGTGTAAATGTGTGTGAATGATACACTGTAGTGCAGGGCTATTCAATTCCGGGCCTCGAGGGCCGGTATCCAGCACGTTTTGGTTAACCCTGCTTCAACACACCTGATTTCAATCAGCAGGTGATTAACAGGCTTCTGCAGAGGCTGATGAGCTGCTGCACAGGTGACTCAACCACTTAATCGAGAGTGTTGAACCAGACCAGAGAAACCACCAAAACGTGCTGGATACCCAGCCCTTGAGGCCCGAATACGAATAGCCATGTTGAAGAGTAAAGCGCTTTGAAGTTCTCGGACTTAAAAAATGCGGGTCATTTATAATTCATTAATCACAACGTTCTGGGTTGCTTAACAACAGTTTAAGCCATACTTACTGACGGGTGTTCCAGCAAGTCCTGCCCGCTTTCCACCCAGGCTCCTACCGCCACCACCGCCTGGTTCCTCGCAGCCAAAACCTTACTGGTTCTTGAAACTATGAGCTCCTTATTTTGGTCCACTCGGGCTCGGTTCTGGAGGTGTGTTAACGTTTGAACCTTGCTAACACTCATGGTCAACAGATGCTGAACTACAGCTAATAATTGTACTAGCTTGTGAGATCAATTAAAAACGGACGCAGCAGTTGACATAACTTACTCATCTGGAATATTCGAGGAAGAAAAACAAAGAAATTTTTGATTAAAAGCAGTAAAAACTAAAGCTATTCGTTTGAGTTTCGCTCGCTTTCCCCTTTTCTTCCTCTACGGTCTTTTTACGGTTGTCAAACAGCCTGAAAACCCGTCAGCGCCACCTGCTGAATAAAAACTGTTCCTAATAAATTACCTAAAATAAAGGCAAGCTTTTCCTTTTTTTAATCTGTTCTAATGTTAAACACCATTAATGCATGTTTGGCTGTTTCTGGTTGTTTTCAACAGGAACATTTTCCCACTTCATCAGTTTAGGTTTTACTTTTGTAAAACAGCTCTCTACTTCCCCCTTGTGGAGGAGATGAGATACTGAACGTTTATTACGAGAATTTTATTATTGCAAGTAATGAATTACAAAACAAATCTCAATGTATTAAAATTTTTGACAAAAACAAATACAATCGTTTTACATATAAAACAGAAATATGATAGCCTCTGTGTATAAATCTGAATTTTAATGTATTACAATTCCAAGAGGCCAAAAAATCTGTTACACATTTGTCCGTGTTATCTAAAACGCTTAAATTATTTTGGGTCCAATTTTAAACTTACTCTCAGTCCATGGCTCATGCACGACCAATTATGGTGCATTCCTTGTTTGTACAATATTTAAATTTGTATTTAAAACAAGACCAGCTTTTGGAATGAATCAGTTTGGTATTAACACAATCTTAGAATTAATTAATAAGTCTGATGTCCTGAATATGGACTTGATTTAAAAAAAGTTGATAGGCAAATAAAGGTTATGCTTGATTTTAGAAGATTTCATACTAAATCTAATTATAATCATAGTGACCAGCAGGTGGTGCTACACGCAAAACATGAGCATATCTCCGAGTTCAAACTCCTTGGATATAAATAATAAAATGACAGAATTTTATCATGATTTCAGAAACACACAAATTTAAAGTGAATTATTGTTAAAAATCTGCAGCCGCATTGAACTGCAGCCATTTGATTCCTGCTGAACATGCAATTTACTCAATTTTCATCATTGGAACTTAATTTTTCCACATATGAATAATAAGCAGCAAAAGGCAGCACACGTCTCTGGAGAACCTTTTAATAGACACTTTAAAGACATACATCTAAACTGCCAAAACACAAATATTTTAGAAAAATCGTTGTTTTTACAAAGTCTCATTACAGGAATTTATGGTTGTTTTGCACCAAGAGCAACATGGAAACATCAAATATAAAGGTTACTCTGAATTTCAGTGGCTCTGACAAACTTGCGGAGTGCATCCGTCTGTGGAGATGAGTTTACCTGGACAGGAAAAAAAGAATTTTTAAAGAAAGTGGCTCAAGTATATTTTAGCACTGATAAAATAAACAGTGGCACATTTTTAATTCTCTGGGAGCTCTAATTGACTTCTGTGTGATTTGAGTGATCGTTGATTATCAATATAGAAACATAGCATAAATATCTATGTCCACACTGTGTTTTGGGAGTAAAAGTCCTGCCTAATCACTTGCACACACTCATTGTTTTAAGCATCAAATAATTAATCATGAATAATGAAGCAGATTACAAACTACATGAATTCAGTCAACAACTGAAAAAAAATATCTCAGGTGGTTTTAGTCAGGAAAATTGCTTTTGTTTACAGAAGAGAGAAAAAGACCTAAAACCTATACTGCAGCCAGCCACTAGGGGCGTTGTCACTTGGGTTCCTGTTGATTAATAAGAAAAAAATTATTTAAATTGTAAAAAGTCTGACTGATAAAAAGAGCAAGCCTTTAATTTTGGGAAGGTGGATTAAAACTGTAAAAATGTTGACAGAGAAGCTCCAGAAAACAAACTGCTGCCAAACTCCTTTCACTTCTGAATTCTGGGTTTATTACAAACATTTGTGACCAAAATTTAAGTGCTCTGACTTGGCCTCCTCACCATAGCCACAGTTGTCAGCTCATGGAAATTGTAAACATTAGAGGAACAAACAATGCCAAACAGATTCACAACGCATGAATTCTTCTGAACAAATCTGAAAAGTGTGGACCGTGGGGTTTGGAAATGAACACACAAGCAATAGGAAAAGACTCTTGGCTCCAGCTACTCCTTCAGCTATAAAACCCAAAGTCATCAGCTGTCAGAACTTGCAGTTACATCCCCACCTGGACTTCAACCACATCTCACGGATGTTGGACATCGGCGTGCACCCTTTCTTAGTGACCTTTTCAAAAATCCTCTCAGATATAAAAAAAAAAGAAAAGAAAAGGTGACTCACCTGTATAGACTTGCCAAGCTTGGTTAGTGTAGGTTTATAGGTCTCCATGGTGACAGAGTCAGGACCAATGACATCACTGTAACACTGGTAAACAACAGCAGCGATGCGGTGCACCTGGCAGTGGTTCAGTACTGATAAAACAGCAGAAGGACGAACACAGCAAGGTTATCTGGTGACTAAAAGGTGACCTGGGTGAAGATGAGACAGTCTGACTGGGACAGTCGAGACAAACGTCCTTCATGCCGATAAAATGTCTGTTTGGATTTAATGTATTTAAGCGTTCTGGCAGCATAATAACCACATCAGGATGCAGGATGGTGCGTGCTCAGTAAGTGGAGAGGGGCCTAATGACACTACATTTCACTCAGCTGGCAGAGGCATTTGTTCAAAGTGAATGTTTCTACACACACACACACACACACACACACACACACACACACACACACACACACACACACACACACACCAACAGCTGTGTGGGGCTCATTGCCTGGCTCAACAGCAAGACAAAAATGTAACTTGTCAAAAGTCACACTTTGGGTGATACCCGTTCCACATCCCCCTTGTTAAGGGGGACGTCTACCAATTCCTTCATAGCAGTGTGTTTGTTTGCAGTATGCTTGCTTTAGAAGTGGGCACACACTCGTTATTTCAGTTCATTTGTTTTGCTCTCTCTAGTATTAATGAACGCCCTGTGGGGAAAAAAAGCTCTGGCGCTCCTGTTTTTGCGTGGTAGAAGTTAAGCCTGATATATGCTTCTCCATTGGCGTTGGTGCAGAGATATGCAACGCCATTATGCGTCGCCACAAGGGCTCTCCAACGGGCTCACAGACGGTGAAGGAGACCGCAAGCTTGTGATTGGTCAGGACGCTGCTTCCTGTAAATTCGTCACCAGCACCGTCGTTGCCCCTTTAAAAAGTAAAAAGACTGAAAAGATTGAAGAATGCATCATGGAAAAAGTGCTAAAATATGAACGCTTATTGACCCGTGACTGAAGGAGTATAAAATACGGAGCAAACGTGGACGAAATGATGGGAAACGTTAGTTTAGAGGTGGTGACCACATGAAGAGGTGGAGGAGAATGAAGGAGAAATTTGTTTGTTTCATAAAGTCGCTGACGTATTTAAACAATTTAGTAAATACACCATAATGGACCGGATACATGAGTGTTATGGCGGCAGGATACCACAGAAAAGTGCTACGCCCTCTATTGTCCTGGTGGGGAATTGCTACGCAACCCTCTGCTGCCTGTGCAGAAGGTCCAGTGTGAAAACCTTTCCTACACTCTGTGTGCGTCTCTCCGTTGCAGAGCTCACGGAGAAGTATGAATCAGGCTTTAGTTGGAGGAGTGGGGGAGACGGGGGACAACACGATTTAGAGTCTCACTCATCAATATTAATGATATGCAAACACCTTGCCTCTGATTGGCTAACAGCAACGAGACTCTTGCACCACCTTTGTTTGTTCTTTTTTCGTGGGTAAAAATGTTTTCAGGCTTGTGTTATTTGTGGATTATTGGGTATTTGTGGTGTGCTAAAACACCAACGTAACTTTTTTTTACCCAAGTAAGATGAAGGCAGAGGAGGAGTTGGGTTGCTGTTAGACAATCAGAGGCTATTCATTTGCATATCATGAATATGAACGAGTAAGACTCCAAATCCTGCTGTTTTCCAGCTAACTTCTACCCCCTGAAACAGGATGGCCAGAGCTTTTTTCTCTCCCCAGATAACAACTGACAATGAGTATTATGGGCCATTCCCATCTGTACCTGGTCGGCCCGGGCCGGGTAGCGTAGGTTGTTTACATATCTGGGTGGCCTGGTATTTTTCCGGGCCAACCAAGGCTCATTCTCAGCCCTCTTCTCGAGGGGGTCTGCTTCAGGCCGACCAGGGCTAACACACCCACTGCTGACAGCAAATTCACACCTTCCATTAGAGCAAGCCTCTGATTGGTGGGTAGAATCAGCCCACATGGGCTTAAGGCAAGGATGTGTGGAATCAACCGGGCCAGGCTGGGGCCGACTGGGGCTACCCGGCCCGGGCCAGATGGGAATGGCCCATTAGAGACCTCAGCAAATTCACTGAAATAATATAACCCTAGATTTTGGCTGAAGGAACAAACACAGGTGAGTTGTTCTCCTTTTGCTTTTATCTGCACTAAAGCAGGTGACAGAAACGCTTGGTAATCCTGGTGGATCAGTCAGTCAAAAGAAAACTAAATTACTGTTATGGGCAGGGACATATTAGAACATACTACTTTTATTAAAGCTACACAAGTTTGGGAAAATCTTTGCAAAACTCCATTTGAACTGTGTCCCAGAAAACCCTCAGCTGTCCTACAAAACCCTCACCGCTTGCCCTCTACCTACATCCCAAAAAAAGAATCAGGCTACCCTAGTTCTTAGTGTGAACACTGAAAACTGTGAGATGTGTTTTAGAGGTAATGAGACAAACGAGTGACAGGAGGCCAGGCCTTTGCAGTGCGTGTGAGGCACAAATAAGCACCTATAAGGGTAAAATAGCAATAAAAGCAGATCTACAAAAAATAAAAATAAAAACAGATTACTAAGAACCTCCAGAGGGAAACAATTTGAAGCACAGATAATGTTCAGCAACTCAAAGTATGAATTTAAATCAGGCAGATTTAAGTTTATGCTCATTTTATTGTTCTCTGCCTCTGGATATGTGGGTTATGAAATGGTCAAAGCAGGAAAAGGCAGGGCGAGCGGTGAGAACGTACGATCATCATTTTCTGTCTGCTAAAGAGCTCAGGGGCCATTCTATGTGATATAAAGCTGTTTAACAGTGCATCGGGTTGGCTTGTTTAAATTAAGCGTATATTGATTGAGGAATAAAGGTAACGTGCACATAATATGTTAAGCTGTGACGTTCAGCGATCAACATCATCCAGAGATAACAGCAACAGATGATTAAATGAATTAGCATAATTTGTACATTAACTAATCACCAGTCTTGGCTGCGCAGCTGCATCAGGATTCTCCTCAGGTTCTTAGATGAGTTCTAGTTTCCACTACATGAAGGGACTTTTGTTTTACACGCAGCTATTTGTGATTGTTTTACTCAAATACACATTTTATAGGTAGGGAATGTATAATCTGGGTTATCAGTAGGGTTGTCACGGTGTGAAAATTTAACCTCACGGTTATTGTGACCAAAATTATCACGGTTTCCGGTATTATCGCGGTATTTTTTTTTAAACGTGCTACATTTTCAGACAACTAAATAAACCCTGTATATCAGAAAAATATTGTCCTCGGTTTGTGTCCTTCCAGTGAGCTTTGCAGATGTGGGTAAATGTCATCAGGCAGTAATCATTGTTAAATTCATAATTATTCTCGGAGAGAGACCAACTCTTATCTGCCCCTGGGAGCCCCATAATGCATAGCGTCATTTCAATATGGGGGTGTCCGCGACACGGTTTATATGCAGGTAGCGGCGCTGCGGCTGCTTTATATAGCGACTCGTTGCATTCTCCCTCAACCCAAATCCTCGGATCACGCATTTTAGCTAAAACGCTAACGTTAGCTTGCCTTGCGTTGACTGTAGAGTTGTGGGTGATGGTCACGCAGATGTGCCATGAGATTTGAAGCGTTGCTACCTTTCACAGACCCTTTTTCTGCATGTGCTGCAAACAGGATAGCCGTCTTCTATCAGCTGTCCCTCGGCATTCTTCAAATATCCAAAAAATGCCCATACTTCCCACTTTGTCTTCTTTGAGGGATAAAAAATGTCCTCCTGAGCGCTGCCGTCTCCTCCTTTGGCCATTATTTCAGCTTTAGCTTCAAGAAAGTTTTGGTTGTAAACAACAAAGTGCGCATGTGCCGCCAGCAACTTCAGCAGATGATACGGTGGCTGGTAAGGGTCACCGCGCCTACACCGCAGCCATGGTAACCCACCGAGATATATTTTTTTAAAAACAAGACGGTTATTATTATTGTCATTTTTTTTACCGCTACACCGGTTACCATGACAACCCTAGTTATTAGTAATTAATCAAGCTTTGTAGGTTGGACTAAAATTTTAAATGTCAGAAGTAAAGGTAGCTAGAACCACCCTGAGTGCCATGAAACAACAAGTGATTTATGATTTATCATCTCCAGCCTCACACAGAAACATCTCTCTAATAAAACTCTAAAAGGACAATCAACCTGGGACGAAGTAGTAGTAGCAGTAGGTCTAGAATTAAATCCTCAGCTAAATGTGCTAATTTGTGAGACTGATGAGTGAAAGTGAGCCTTAGCAACGCTTCTGACATGCTCATGTTATAGAAAATCCGAGCACACCTGCAGCTGGAAGTCCTGTAACTATGTTTGGCTGCTCCAGTGACTGGCAGACAGGCTGATCACTGAAAGCACTGGTGTGGAGAGCTCGCAGGAAGGGAGCAGAGCTGCTGCACAGATAGTCTGCCGTCTTGTAATCAGCCACCGAGCCATCTGACAGCACGGTCACAGTCAGCTCCCTGGGCTGCAGGCAGTCAAACACCTGCAAGAGACGATGACAGCGAGACCAACAAAGCGTCGTGTTACACATCATCTTCCATCATTAATGGAGGCAATATGTGCTGAAATAATATCCCCTAAAAACAGCATTCTTGGCCAAAGTCAGCACAGATCGTGTTGTTGATGCCAGATTTTACTTGTGTATCTGTGTTTTGGTGGCTAATTCTGACATGTGTGAGAGCTGCCAACATTTTCCCAATTTGCAGTTGTCAAGTTCTGAGAACTTGCGCCCATTATAAGCCAAGGTCAAACAAAAAAAAGAAATTAGACTCTATGCTGAAAGAAGTGAAATCTGTCAGTCCTCTGCTGCTGCAGCAGCAAATCAATTTAAAGGTTGATTGTATTCAGAGTATTTTCTAATTCTCAAGCCAGCTCATCTGGCACCAATCAGCAAGATCTCCACCCTCCTGTTTGCTCTAAAACAACAAAACCTCAACAAAAAAACCTCAGGCCATGTTGTTTGCTGTTTAAATGAAGGATGACCTAGTTGGTGTGGTATCAACACTCTTATTTAACGACATATGTGCAGTTCTTGCGGTGTCCCATTGTGAGGTTTCACAACAGATTAAAAAAATCCGCAGCCTCATCAGGCTGATTGACAGTACCTTTTCAGTCCACTGAAACTGTTGATCTTCTGCGACGTAGCAAGTCACATGGCATATCAAAACCTTTAAGGGGAAAACAAATATTTCACATCAAAACTCACAGATAAAATCAAACACAGGCATCTATCTGCAGGTCGGTTAATGCCGAGGGTGTTTTCAGCACGCACGCGGTGCAGGAGAGTTAGAAAGATGGATTCAGGTTTTTAGTAAAAGTCTGTCGCTGGGTGAATTCATTTAGGTTATTCAGGTTTAACGGGTCTACCAAACAAAAAGAAAGTAGACACATGAAGCACCAGTCCCTAGGGAATGAATAAATAATTAATAAATGATCTGTTTGAGGATTCGATAAGTTCAGATCAGGGGCCTCATCTATCACGCTTGCTTACGCACAAAACGGGGTCGAAAACTGCGTAAGCAACTTCCACGCAAACTTTGGGATTTATAAAAGAAAACTTAGCGGAAAAATGTGTGCAACTTTAAGTTGACTAAGGACCTGGCTTACGCACATGTTGGACATGGAGAGCACCTGCAGTGCTGCTGCTGAGAAGGATAAAATTATGAAATCCTGCAGCATTATACCTTGTACTGCTTTGTTTTCACACAGAACAAGACCCCCACACGCGCACACACACACACACACACACACACACACACACACACACACACACACACACACACACACACACACACACACACACACACACACACACAGCCTGAAGCACAGAGTACGGAATGCAGAATATCAGCAGGGGGACAGATTGAGACAGAATGTCATGCGTCTGTGACAGTGTGTGTGTCCTGTCACTGTGACCCGATTGATCATGTACCCTGGCTGCTTGGACAAGGGAGATCTCCGTTTGGGTGACTGGCTAGTGCGTGTGACTTTCACCAGGGAGTCTGGGGATTGAATCCTGATTGGACCATTTTTTTTATATCCGCCACAGATCTCTCTGAAGAATTCACAACATTGACGGCTTCAGCAACGCTGTGCCACTCCGTGGATTTTCGCTTATTTGTTTTGCAAAAGCACTTCCTTTCATTTCTTCACCTCACCCACAAGTACCGAAATTTCTGCTTCTGTGAAATTGTGCTTCCTTGATCTGCCTTGATCTACGGTCGCCATGTCATTGGCGAAGCACTGCAACAGCCGGCTTATGTATATGCATGAGATCCACCAGGCACTTTGCATTGACTATTTATGGCAGTAAGTGGGCGGGGTGAGGGTGGGATGTGACTAAAAAGCAGCTGAGAACCTTTCTAGATAGTTTCTGATTTATGAAGCGGAGATTGCGTGAAGCTGTGCGTACTCCACGTTTGATAGATCACAAACCTACTTGGCGTAAGTACTTTTTTTTTGCTGAGCTTAAGAACGGTTTTAGTAAGGATTCTACACGATGTTTGATAAATGAGACCCCAGATCTGCATCAGATAACTTTTTTATTTGAAAACCAACTACCGGTAATAATTTAACAGTTTCACTTATTTTAATATATCCATCCATCCATTTTTGTAACCCGCTTTTCCATGTAGGGTTGTGGGGGGCTGGTGCCTATCTCCAGCTGTCTTTGGGCAAACAGGCGGGGTACACACCCTAGACAGATTGCCAGTCCCTCGCAGGGCAACACAAGGACACACAACCATGCACACACACACACTTAAGGACAATTTAGAGAGACCAATCAACCTATCGGTCATGTTTTTGGACTGTGGGAAGTGCACTGGAGAGAGCCCATGTGTGCACAGGAAGTAAATGCAAACTCCATGCAGAGAGACCCCAGGCTGGGATAACCCAGGACTTCCCTGCTGCAAGGAAACAGCGCTAGCCACTGCGCCACTGTGCAACCCTTATATTAATATAATAAAACACAAATCAAATCCTTTTCTTCCCATTACCAGGGTGAACTGACCTCTCCTTACAGCCCAAAAACCACATAAACTGACCTCAATCCTGTGAAAACTGAACCAAAATATGCCACCTTTATAGTGGGAATAAAAGGACTTTCAGTAAACCGGTGATTCATAAATATTTTGTGAACAATCACGCTTATCTGCTTCTGTCGTCCCTCCGTTTGTTAAAATCCCTGCAGCCCTCTGAAAGAAGCAGGACAGGTGTGATAAATCTGAAGCTTCCGCTGCAGCACACAGGCATTCACTGCATTTATCTTGATTAAATCAAACGTGAAGGACGTAAGGCAAATACAACAAAGGCACGCACACGCGCGCGCACACACACACACACACACACATACACAACTGGCTGCTTGAAACTCTAAATTCTGACACTTAATCCAACATGATTTTCTTCTCTTGTAATGGCCTTTGATGAAGTAAAAAGGATCATTTTTGTCACAAGTATTCATCAACACGTAGCCTGCAGCTGGACAATAATGACTTTAATAGAAACATCTCTAACAGCACAGGAGACCAATTAAAGGGAGGATGAGGAGCAGAAGTTCTCAACAGTCATGTGCTTTCTGAGGTGTTATTCAGCAGCAGATATATTTTGAAGTGTTGATTTTCTCAGTGTGTCACTCACTGCTGGGGTGTCCTTGTGTCGGTAGAAAACACATGCCGACTCCTCGCTGGTCTGCCCGGTTGCAGCACGGCTCCTCTCGTTCCACACCAGCGCTCGTCCAACTGCGTCCCACTTTGCAGAGGCGAGAACGTACGCTGACAGAAAGCCTGCAAGGACAGATCCTCTCAGTATTCAACAAACAGCTCGCATGAGAAAAGAGTGGGGCATTTTTCAAGCGACAAACTGTGTTGGAACATTTTAATTTCATCTTATAGCTGGAGCTCAGAGTCTCATGACAGGCGAAGAGAAAGTCTGATGCAAAAATGAATGAAAACAAATGCCATTGAAACAATTATTGTTTGATTTGGGTCAAATCTGTACCATGCAACTATGAACAGCACAAACTATGAAGACTGAAGACTTATTAGTGTGCTTTATTAAGAAATAGATGGTTCACGAGAGAAGAGTTTTTTTTACTTAAACTATTTCTAATATAACAGGTAAGTAGATAAACAAATAAAACAATAAGTCTTGCAGTAATAATAACCTGCAGAGACAGAATCATTTTATAAATACATTAAATTTGCTGCACAGATGATCATACAGATTACTTATATTAATAATAATAATAATAATATATAATTAATAAAATGCCAAGATTTTGTTTCAGTTAGCAGACATGACTCAGTATGGATGAGTTAGTTCTGTAATATTACTGGCTGTGCCACATGATGGACACATCATAGATACGACCAGAGCTGGACACAACTCACTGGCAGCATTGTGTCCCACGGCGAGGACAAAGTCTGAACACAGCAACTTGTTTCCACTCCTCAGTGACTCTGTGACATCAGTGCTCCACTGCAGCTGAACAGTCCTGATTAACGGAGGTGTGGGGCAGAAAAAATACACATGATTTAAATGTGCTGAACACTCATTCAATCAATACATTTGCATTTAACTCCTCAGTTAAAGTTTTACTGGCATTATCCTGGTACACAATAACATTAATGAAATACTCTGTATGTGTTCAATACCTGTGCAATTCCAGATTTACATAGTATGTCTATGTCCCTTATAGTATGCTGCATAGTTTTAGAATCCAAGTTTTTCATTTTTTATTTGAGGTTTTTAGCGGTCGAATTTTACGATACTAGCTTACTGCCTATGTGTATACACATGTACCTTTGTTATTATTTTTCTTCAAATTATTCTCTTAAGTGTTTGCGTAGCTGTAACAAGTGAATTTTCCCACTGTGTGATCAATAAAGTTGATTATATTCTGTTCTAGTAGGAATGAATGCCTTTTAAGTCATACTTATGGGGGAAAAAAGCCCAGAAGTGCCTGAATCAGCACCGAAAAACACGGCAGAATTCGGAGGCTTATTTCCTGATATTTGGACATCTTGTCTCTGGCAAGCTAACAGCAATGCAACTCTACCACTGACTCCAATTGCTCTGCAATGAGGAGCTTCTACTGTGTGGTAGAGCTGCTAATGGTAATGGTTAGCCTCTGCTAGTCGAGATGTTCTCTGCAGTTTCCTGGATGCTAAAACAGCAGCATTCCCCATCGTAAGTCAAGATGGGTGAATCCACAACTGTTAAGTGGCATTGTGACGCAGATCTGTCAGGCTTTTCAAATCCTAGAGTTTCACCGTTTATTTTCTATCAGAAGCTAATTCAGGAGATAGGTGTAGGAGGCTGTTATCATGTTCGGCCTGCATGAAAAACTCAGAGTGACCCATCATAATCAGAAATAATCATTAAACATGTTTTTTCAGCATTCCACACCTTTGACTTTCACTGGGTTTTAAACATAAAAAATGTCATTAAAGGGCTAAAAACATGTTTGTTTGTTTTTTCAATCAAGGCTTTTATGATGAATGTGTATTGGTGCTGCATGCACATGCTGAACTAATTCAAGTGTTTGTGCTCAGCCCACTCACTAGATTTAAAAAGGATGGCAAAAATAATAGAAAAACATTACTTACTCAGGACAAAACAAAAATAAACTTAAACAATAGCCCTATTGAACAGTTTGAACAAAAACAGTGACAAAGACGGTGTTTGCCATGTTGTTTGAGAGTAGATTTGATTGGTTTTAGGCAGAAAAATGAACAACATATAAAAATGCTTTTCTTAGCTTCTGCAGTGAGTTTCAAAGACAACGTTTACTGTTTCTGTTCTGACGACAGCTTTGGAGTTCATAGGATGACCAAAAAAATGCTAAACATAACAAACAAGTCAGATCCTGGAAAGGTACTTTTCAGCTCTACTAACAACAAAAATTATTTGCTCCTTTTGCATTAAAGACTTATGGTTGTTTTTATTTAAATTGACAAATTGAAGTTTGCACCACTCCTACAAATGCATTGCTGCAGCATGTAACAGTGATCAGTAATTAACGAAAGTAGTTAAAACACTGTAAACAAATCATGATCAGACGGTGGTAGTCTATTCTTCTGCTATTTTGAAAAGCGTTAAATAATAAATTAAGAACAGAACAGCAAAATACATTTGTTTTCGTGTGAAAAATTGCATAACACTACATTTTTTGCTGTTATAAATCCAGTTTCATCGTGGTGCGTTCAATGACCTAAAATGTCATTCGTCAAGTTAGCTAAAGCCACTGGGAAGATGCTCATAAAGGAGAGATGTGAGACACGAAACCCCACAAATATAAAATTGGGATCCACATATATAAATAGCATACATATAGCATATAAATACCTTATTTAACTATTCTAATTCCTATTTTCTTGTCTCCCTCGTGCTACTCATGCTAACGTATTTTACCTCTTTTCGTCCAGTTCTCTGCGGATTTGCTCATCTTCTTCATTTTCATCAAGGTCCTCGTCGTCTTCATCTACAGCCCGAGAATATACAGATAACACTTCACCGAAAAACGTTGCCATTATGCCTGAAACTTAAACAAAAAGTGAAAGTTTAGCTTTGACACACACATTCACTTCCGCCGGCAGTAGATAACTGTCAAAATAAAAGCGTCACCGTCTCCTTGTTTCAGAATAAAAGCGACACTTTTTCCAAAGATAAAAGTGAGAGCGGTCTGTTTGATAGGTTTTACTAAAACAATCCAGCAGTATAGTTTCAACATATTTTTTCAATTAGTTTGGGTAACATAGTGAAAAAAATTAACAATGCTCACTATTCCTCCCTTACATTAAACCTCAAATTAATCCTAAACCTTACACATTCTTAATGATAAAGTCCTATTTATTTGTAAAAAAAATAAAATGAAATAAATAAACAAAATACATTTAAACATGGATTCTTTTTTTTACTGGTTTTTTGTGATTTATAAGATGATTTTCTTGTCTACAGAACTGCAACATCATCTGACATTCTTGTGGGATTCCACTGGATTTATGCAAGAGCTGTTCATTTAAATCACTAAATAATTTAAGGGTGTGGCTCTTCCATAAGTGTTGTTTTACAAATCCTTTTAGTTTGAATGTGACAAGCAACTGGAGCAGGCTGCGTGCTATTTTTGGCCCTTTTCACCAATCACGGATATACTTGACAGGTTACAAGCCTCCACCAGCCTCTATATGGTAATATATAATTAACAGTGGATAAAAAGCAAGAAAGTTAAAGGATGCTGGCAGATCATCTTCAGCATGGCTGGCTGGAGACATAAGCCAAGTCATTCTGGGGCAATTTGGCCTCAAGTTTACTGCAGTGAATCTATCCCTTCGATTGTGTTGTATAATTCATTTCCCTGTAAGCGGTGCCCTGAGAGATGAGGGGGAAAACAGAAATGTAATGATATCAGCATGGTCATAAAAATTCTTCATTGTCACCAGAAAATGTCCAGTCTTAGAAAGACAAATTGGATATCAGGGTGAAGCTAGGAGGAGAATAGAAAGTAAGCTCTATTACTGGTGTGGAGCAATAATGTATCAGGAGGCCATAAAGTAACAACTGGAAGGTTTCCCGTAACAGAATGGAGCAACATGCTACGAGGAAGCTTCGGGCTGCTGTTAATATAATTGATAGTCTAGGTGAGTGGGAGGGATGTTCTGCAGCTTAACAGACACTAAAGCCTACGGGGCTCAAAAAAAGGGGGGAATGTCAAAACACGACAAACAGGAGTGTCGCCACTTTACTGGCCATTAAAACAGGAAACCAGTACAACCTGCCAGAGGAAAAATACTTCCATGTCTGTCCATCCCCATGCCAGGACGAAAATGCTGATGGTCCCTCTTTGAATTTATGTCACGATCCATGGTTAAAGAAGAAGATCTAATGCAGGACTAAGAAGATGGAGGAATAAACCTGTAGGAATGAAGGCTTTGGAAGTCGTTCTTTGGGGAATCTCTAAGGCACTAGGAAATTGTCATCTGGAGGAGAAAGTAGCTTCAAAGGAGCTTTACTTCTGATATTTAGACATCTCGCCTCTGATTGGCTAACAACAATGTGATTCTACTACTGACTCCTGCAACGTTGATGATTTATCACCACAAATAACAAAAGCCTGAAGGAGTTCTAATGTGTTGTGGAATTGCTAATGCTAATGGTTAGCTTCTAATGGCCGAGACATTCCCTGCTGTTTGCTGGACGCTAAAACAGCCTTCCCCGTTGTGAGCCAAGCTGGGTGAGTCCATAAGTGACAGATTTATTATGTAGATCCGTCTGGATTTTCTTACAAAAGACCTTAAACAGAAACAGTTTCTCATTTTAACATCTTATTGATCCCCACCCTATATTTTTGGGAGTTTGATTCATTCATTTTTCTGATGATCGAAAGAAATCAATCACAGCCGATTTTCTCCTGTTTAAAATTTTGTGGTTCAGAAGGATCAGCAGCTCTGGGTCTCTGGTGCATCCTTTTTTAGAACATTATTACCTCATCAGTCAACACCAAGCATTTCCACAGCGTTACAAAGTGGATGATTGAACAGCTGCACATCTCAGCTTTTTTTTTTTTCCTTTTTAGGCCTGGAGTCACATTTGTGTCCTTTTACATTCCTTAAGGCAGCATCTGAGATGTATTTTTATTTTTTTCATATTTAGTTTCTTTAAAGCCCCATAAATAAAGTTTTTCAGGTTTAATGAGGCTGCTCAAACATTTTCCTATTCATTTATTTTTTTTTTGCAGCTCAGTCGCCGACCTTGCAAAGCTGGCTGAGTGAACCGAAGTCTTTGAAACACTCCTTTCTAATTGGATGTTTTTGCTTTGTGCAGAGACAGATAGAAACACACATCATCTACAAGGCCTACAGGCAGAACCAGCAACTAATGCGAGAAAAAAATAACTCCCCAAATCACAGCCAACCGTCATCATGATTAATCAGTTTAGGGCCATAAATAATCTGACGATGAGTTGTCCGGGAAAAACTGAGAGAGAGACAAAACAGTAAATAATGATAAATGAATAACTTTCTAATGGTTTATCAATAACCGCTCGGTGTAATGCATAAATTAATTTGTACATGATCTGTAATGAATGTTTAAACAATCAGACTGAACTAGTTCTCTGTGTTCAGAAATTAATTTGAAAATTAATGATGAATGACTCAAAAAACCTCATGGTAGTGTCTTTACAGTTGTTATCAACTACTAATTGTAGTCAAGCAGAATGTTGTGATTCATAAAATTAAATTTGATTATTAACGCAGAAAACATGCTCAGCGATACCGAAACTACATGTTATTTACAGCATCAGATAAGAGAAGCGTCTGGAGGAAGACACAAAACAAAATGTGAAACGACTGTGAAAAGAAGTGATGAGTATAAAGAAAAGATTTTTGTTTAATGAAAACCTATTTTTTAATGATTATTCCTGATTGTAATCAGCCTCTCTTGCAGGCTGTACATGAAAGTAGTCTCCTACATCTATCTCGGTGAAACTCTAGGATTTGAAAAGCCTGAATGATCTACGTCACACTGTCACTTAACATTCATGGACTCACCCATCTTGGTTGACGAAGGAGACGGCTGTTGATGGTTTAGCGTCCAGAAAACAGCAGAGAACATCTCGGCTAGTACAAGCTAACTGTTAGCATTAGTACCTTCACCACACGGCAGAACTCCTTAAGGTTAATTGTAGAGATAAAACATCAACGTTGCAAATCAGTGTAGAGTTGCGCTGCTATCGTCCAGTCTGAGGAGAGATGTCCAAAAATCAGGAAATGAGACTGAATCCTGCCGTATGAAGCTCAGCTGTGATGTGGGTCACTAATAGTTCCTGGAAAGGGTGCACCAGTATATTTGCCGCCCCCCCCCCCCCCCCCCCCAGAACAACTTACAAGGCATTTATTCCTTGAGACCACTGCTAATGTATCGACTGAACAAGTGAACCACATCTTTAAAGAATGGGAATGAATGTTTTATTTGAACAAAATTTTGGAGTTAAACATACATAAACGCATATGATGATGTAAGAATGATTGGATTTTACACAGCTGCATGGTGGCGCATTTGCTAGTGCCTTGAAGCAAGAAGGTTGCAAGTTTGAATCCCGGCTGTTTCCTATCATCCTCAAGTGTGCTTGGGTTTGCAAGCACTCCAGTTTCTTCCCACTTACCAAAAACATTCAAGTTAGGATAAATGGTTAATCCTAACTAAATTGTCCCTTGGTGTGAGTGCTTCTCCCTGTGATGGACTGAAGACATGTCCAGGGTGTCTCCTTGCCTCTGGCTGAGTGACTGCTGGAGACAGACACACGATCTCCACAACCCTATAGAGGATGAAATGGTTTAGACAAGGAGTGTGAGAGATGTGATGCTCTCTTAACTTTTGTCTCCTGTCTGATGACTGCAGGGTGGGACAAGTCCTGGTCACTTTGGTCCAACATCTGCATGTTTATTCCCTCCAGGGATGGGACAGCTCACATGCAGCAGCCCTTCCTCTGTAAGGCTTTGACATCCTGAACACAGACTAGGATAACATCCTGTGTGAGGATGATTTAAAACTATTGAGAACCCTGAAGACCTCAAATATATACAGTTGTTGACTGGTCAAGTACTTGGTGTGGACATGATGAGACTACGTCAGGTCCCGAAGCACATTTCAAAGACAGAACACCCCTCTAATTACTTCTTCACATAGAAAATTAGCCGATTGAATGAATAAATGTACAACTCGTATAAAAAAAATCTATATCAGTTCCAACTTCGTCGTCGTCTTCCTCCACTTATCCAGGTCCGGGTCGCGGGGGCAGCATCCCAACTAGGGAGCTCCAGACCGTCCTCTCCCCAGCCACCTCCACCAGTTCCTCCGGCAGGACCCCAAGGCATTCCCGGACCAGATTGGAGATGTAACCTCTCCAATGTGTCCTGGGTCGACCCGGGGGCCTCCTGCCGGCAGGACATGCCCGAAACACCTCCCCAGGGAGGCGTCCAGGAGGCATCCTGATCAGATGCCCAAACCACCTCAACTGGCTCCTTTCGATCCGGAGGAGCAGCAGTTCTACTCCAAGTCCCTCCCGAATGTCCGAGCTCCTCACCCTATCTCTAAGGCTGAGCCCGGCCACCCTACGGGGGAAACTCATTTTGGCTGCTTGTATCTGCGATCTTGTTCTTTCGGTCATTACCCAAAGCTCATGACCATAGGTGAGGATTGGGACGTAGATCGACCGGTAAATCGAGAGCCTGGCTTTCTGGCTCAGCTCCCTCTTCACCATGACAGATCGGTTCAGCATGCGCATCACTGCAGACACTGAACCAATCCGCCTGTCGATCTCCCGATCCCTCTTACCCTCACTCGTGAACAAGACCCCGAGTTACTTAAACTCCTCCACTTGAGGTAGGACCTCTCCCCCGACCCGGAGTTGGCAAGCCACCCTTTTCCGGTCGAGAACTATGGTCTCAGATTTGGAGGTGCTGATCCTCATCCCAGTCGCTTCACACTCGGCCGCGAACCTACCCAGCAAGAGCTGAAGGTCAGAGCTAGATGAAGCTAGGAGGACCACATCATCCGCAAAAAGCAGAGACGAGATTCTCCTGCCACCAAACTCGACACACGCCACACCACGGCTGCA